TTTCGTGACTGCAGGCATTCATATTCTTGGTTCTTTCGGTAAAGTCACGTAGTAAGGAAACAATAAAATGATAAAAATCTAAAACAATAAAATTCTCACGAAGTTTCTTGCTCTGTTTTTCACACCTGATGATGATTGCTTGTGTTGCAGTCGAAACGTTGTGAGAATTTTATTGTTTTATATTTTTATTGCTTCATTCTTTCCCTTCTACGCGACTTTACCGAAAGAACCGAGAATATGAAGTTAAGCGATTTAAAATACATTGTAATCTGTATTATCCTCTACAGTTTGTGACCAGCTGTTCCAGGCCTCCGTTATTGGGGTTTGCACATCTGAAGCCATCTTTCTCCATCAGATGTGTGGAGGTCGCTGATGACCAGGTGAGAGAAGGATGCATTTCGATTTAAAGCTTTCGTGACTGCAGGGATTCATCTTCTTGGTTCTTTCGATAAAGTCACGTAGAAGGGAAATGATAAAATAATAAAAATAAAACATCATAAAAAATTCTCACGACGTTTCGGCCACAACACAAGCAGCCGTCCTCAGGTGAAGAAACAGAGCTGTCGGAAAGACAGCTCTGTTTCTTCATTATTTCCCTTCTACGTGACTTTACCGAAAGAACCAAGAAGAAGGGTGCATTTCACAAAGCTTTTACACCTGCAGAGGGAGCGTTCTGCACTCCCTCCATATGCTCACAGAGCCAACCCTATATTTAGTTGTTGTCTCTGAATAAATGTCCCTTATGCTAACGGGCATTACGTGAAATGTTATGATGGAAAATGCCGCTATTCTGGGGTTATCATTGAGTCGCCATTTATAATCTGCTAGGCCTCCTCAAGTTACGGCCTGCGTTGCGATGATATTTGCTAGCATTTTAAGGTGGTAGCTAGTTTAGCAATGTCTATTTGTAAAATGTATTCTGATTACTGTGCTACATTGTGGATAGGGGCCAATATAGCAAATCCATTGTTGAACTGTACCATTATTCTCACTCGTCTATGGTCCCCATCTTCACCAACCCACACTGACCAGTGTAGTAAAATCTGGTTAAATATCCCCCATGATCCATATGGTGTGGGAAGACCCTCACTTATCCAGCAGTGTAGTGACAAACTGGCTGTTAATGTACTACACATGTACGCTTAAATTACTGCACGTTAGTTTTGCTAATTATTAAACCCACAACATTATCTGGAATAAATTAATGGATTGTATGATTGATTGGCGGAAGCTGCATTCTAATTAGTAACACTACCCATCGGTTTACTATATATAAAAAAAAGTGACCACACTTGTCGCAAATCTTCCGGCAGGACACAGGCGACACCCTGGGCAGCGTGCTGCGGGGGTTTTTCACGATCCGGAAGAAGGAGCCGGCCGGCCGTCTCCCCACTTCCTCCACTTGCTTCAACCTTCTGAAGCTGCCCAACTACAGCAAGAAGAGCGTCCTGCGAGACAAGCTACGCTACGCTGTCAGCATGAACACGGGATTCGAGCTCTCGTGATGCGCTCGTGCCACGCGGCGCCTGCGCGATGGCCGGCAAAAGAATAAGCTCGTCATCGTTGGGAGGGAGGGCGAGGGAGGGAGGGAGGTAAGGGAGGAAGGTGATACTGCGCACCTCCCTTTACAGCGTAACCTGAGCCAACGGCCGTTATCCCGGCTGTACGCAAGACCGTGAAGGTAGGTGTCACTTGCAAGGATGAGTGGCGAGGTGGTCATGAATTTTGGGCAAGTAATGTTTGTATTAAAGATACGCTTCTTGCACTTGACAGCGTTCACCTACCTGTGGACCTACCTGCGGTACACTTTAAACACCTCAGAATCGACGAACATCACTTCGTCTACAAGCGTAGAGAACATACACATCGTCTGCAAGCGTAGAGAACAAACCAATTTTGTTCGAGTCTTCTTGTTTTTACAGGCGATGACGTTTTGTCATCATGTCGAGATCATCCGTGGGTGGTGCACAATCCCCCAAAGTGTGCATAACGTGTTTTGAAACTTGCAACTCATGGCTGCTTTATGCCACTGTTGGGACGTGAATGGGATTTTTGCTGCCTCTTGTCGATTTGCCCAACCTTGGTCTCAAGACAAAATGTGCCCCTTGAACGCCGCAAAAAATGAGGCCCTGCTCTGACGCCTCGCACGTTCCACGATGTTCTCCGTTTGGAAGGAGCTGGTCTCGGAACCTCGTTTTAAAGTTGTACACTTGGGTACACTCCACAATAAACTGCCCTCATGCCACCAGTGTTGGTGCAGGCTGACTTTGTTGATCACAGTCAACTAATGAGAATGTATAATTTTTATGTTGCGTGCACTCGGCAATATCAATTGCAAACCTTAAGTTCTTCTTGTGCAACAACACAGTTGTCAAATTTAATAAACTAATGGGCTATGATATAATATAAACGTAACTCGTGTAAATAGAAGCGATGCTGACATTTTTATTTCTTAGGTTCTGCTGTTTTATGTACATGAATCTGCATTTCTATGTTAACTTCCTATTACGGTGTAGTCTTCCATGTGTTTACAGAACTACTATAACTGGCATGCAGTCTTAATCGGCAAGTTTTACACTCTAAAACTATATACAAATTAATTTAGCCTGTGAATGAAAAAGATGGGACGATTTTATTTGGTTTTATTTTAAAATTAAAGCAACTACACTGATACCATACATTTATACTGCTGACACAATCTTCTTTGTGTGTGAGATATATTTCCTCCTTTGTATCGCTTGTATACAAAACACATTTTCTTTAGTCAAGTCGGGAAATTACTTGGTATAAGCAATCATCCTCAATTTTGTCCCAAATGCCATGCATTGCACTTCTTTAAAATACCGTGTGCCTTCCAAAAGGTACCTGACAGGACTCGCCTGTAACAGTCCACTTGGCCTGCCCTGTGCACAATACAAAAACACCTGAAGGTATTCTCAATGATGTTTGTATTTTGAACTTCTTTCGCACCGTACGTAGACAACCGTGCTAATCGAAGGCAGTCACTAAGAGTGAACCTTGCCCTACTGTAAAGAACACACGTTTTTCTGGCTTTCACTTGCATTTCGTATTCCTGCCCTGGTCCTAAAAGTATTGCGTTCTGTCAGATTAACTCCACGCGGTTACCCTACGTACGTACTTTGTTATAAAAACAAAATCGTAAGCTGTTCATGTCGTTTGTCCAGTTTTAAATTTCTGATCGTGTGCAGATCTCGCATGCGGTTATTGTACAGCTGCGGAATATAACTGTATGAGCGCGGGTCAGTTAAGCTGTTAAGCCACACAATGTTCCCACAGCAAACGAACTAGTGGTCTTGTCTTTTCAGAATAAATGTGAATAAAGTATTGTAATTTAATCCGATTTGTTCGTGGACACTTACAACTTGCATGTTCTGCCTACTGTGTATAGATTGCATTTGGTTGCACGTTACTAATGGGTGACGTAGAACCTGAGAGGTGATGTAGCCATGGAAAACCCGACACCATAGCACGTACACCAAACTCAAACTGGAAAATACCGCATATCCTGTGTACCTAGCCACGCTCGTCTTGTTGTGATTTCCAGTTACATTTGCTCCTGCTTTGGCTTAAAAAACAACGCAATGTGTTATCCTCAAATTCCAAACGGTGTAGAATTTTATTTAGAGATTAACCATGTTGCACACCTGTTGTGTGTGAATTCATGTATTTGTTTGGGGCAAGTCAAATGTTTTCGTACAACAAAACGTTTGCAAAGATGGCACTGTACTTGAGCACACGTGACGTGAAAATACTGGTCCCGTTAGTAATTAAAATGCTTTCATTCACACGAGTGCTGAATGATTAGAAAGGTGTTAAAGGTGAGCATAGGTAACTTTGAGATGTTCTGTTGCTATATTTCCAAATGTATTATTTTTGCAATACAAATATAATCTAAATTAATTGTATAAACACTTTGCATATTTAGATAGTGGAAATCCATAAATACTGGATGTTATGTCTCCTACCACTTGAAAAATAAGAAACTAAAATTGTTAAAACTTTCCGGTTTGCTGAAAAACTCAAGTGGCATGTTTGCCCACGTGACAACTTGATTAGATTAGCCCTAAATCACCTATCTCTTCATCTTTATACAAAGTGCGATTTTTCTGTGTTTTTCCTTGCGGCCACTGGAGATATGTTACCTTCTGGGAATCTCAACTGTTTAAAGAACACTGACAGAACCAGTCTATGGTTTGATAACCCAACAGCTCAAGTTTCTCCACGACAATAAACACATTCCTGCGGAGGGAGCTGGTAGGAACGTTGGGTTACTCGGTCAATGGCCAGGGTCAACAGCGGCGTGGTGTTTTCCGCAAATATGCCCGACTGTGAGGGCGGGCACAAGCCGGCGTGAATAGGTTAAACGTTGAGTTTTATAAGGGCACCACGGGGTGACCAGCCCTTTCCCACCCAGCCCCACCCCACCCTCCCCACCCAGCCCTCTCCACCCAGCCCCACCCCTCCCATTTTTGGATGCACGACGGACGGACACAATAATCCCCTGTGGGCTGGTGGAACCAGGAGGTTCCTACCAGTATAATATACACTACAGCCTTCATCAATCCACTGCGAAATGAAGACGTCTATACGCCTCGTCAGTCAGTCAAAGTTACTCAGCGAGAAACAAATTAACCCTGGCTGGGCGCAAGTCACCAAAACACACCTCGCCACACAGCCCAGCCGTCGCTGGCAGCACGCGTTTGCTGCCGCAGTTTGCAACGTGTGAATTGCTCGTTCACCAGCATTCGCGATGGGAAGCCCCGATTAGCGCGCCCCCCCCCCCCCCCCGCGGCATGCGCTATCACGATGTGCGGCGGCGACGGTGGCGCCTGCCCTGTGGCGCTTTTTTCTGCTCCCTCTGCGTACGCATTAATTCATGAATAATAATTATTGCACCGCTGCCGGAGGCGGGCGCGCGTCGACGCGTCCCCGCCTTGTGGACGCGCGTCTCTGAGCGCAAGCTGAGTGAGCCGAGCACGCGGCGGACAGGTCCCAAGTTTTTGGGTTTGGTCGCTCGGCTCGGCTCGCTCGGGTCAGTCGCTGATGTTGCGCAACCTACCGGTGGTGGCCCAAGGATGACCGTGCTGCTGCATCTGTGCGTGAGCTTCGCCTTATCCCTGCGCACCTACGAAGGTAAAATGTGGCAACGGGCACGTGAACGGTTAAATGGTACACAGACCCCCCCCCCGTCGTTACGCGTTACCGTGGAAGATCGTCGGTTAAAACAACATGTAATGTGTAGTGGAGTGCTCTTGCAACAACAAACAAAAAAACATCTGATAATATAATCAAGCAGATTTTTTTTCAAACAAGCCTGGCTCTGCTGGTGAAACCCAGAGGGTCGAAACCGGTCCCGGAAGATTGTTTGCTGCAATAAATGCTGCTTTGGTAATATTGGTTCGGGAAGCCAATAGGATGATGGACATGTATGTTGAACTTCTTTCGCACCGTACTAATCGCGTATGTGGAGACTGCTCAGCTGTGGACTTCACAACATTCTACGTACATATGCAGATTAACAGTAATGGTCAAATCATACAGCAGCTTTACACGTACGGTATTTGTTCTTGTGCTTGGACAGAAATACAGGCTGATACATTTCGGGATACCTCACTGATTTCTAATGACCCTCTTATTTCTCAACAGCCGGTTGAATATTGTGAGAGTGCTGACTCCATATCTTACAGAGGAGAGTGTTCAAATGTTAATCTACGTGTATTGGTTGAGATTCGTGGAAGCCATGTTAGAGGCTCTTTAAATAAAATGTTTAATCCCATATATACAATGTCGCTGTTATTTTAGTGGGGTGTCTATAAACGGATCACTTGATAGATAGATCCCACCAATGACCCCATTGTGGCAACATAAACGGGCCTGACTGCTTGATGTGACCTCAAAAGATGAGAATAGGTTTTCCCCTTTTTTCTGGCAACAAAACAGGTGTTGAGATGTTAAAACACCAAACTGAAACCTTTTACAAGGAATCATGTCTGCATTAACCACAATACTTGTGGTCAGAATGCAAAAAAAAACGTACCCTGATAATATATGCATTGTCTTTGAAACTGATTGGTCCACACCGTTTTGAGACTAGGCTCAAACGAAAGCTGTCTCTGATGTGGACCAATCAGTTTAAAAGACGATGCATATATTATATTATCAGAGTGCGTGTTTTTTTTCATTCTGACCACAAGTATTGTGGTTAATGCAGACATGATTCCTTGTAAAAGGTTTCAGTTTGGTGTTTTAACATCTCAACACCTGTTTTTGTTGCCAGAAAAAAGGGGAAAACCTATTCTCATATTTTGCTACTGGCAAAGGAGTCAAAAAGAGTTTGCTGAAGATAATTATGCGAGGCAACATTAGTTCGCAACGTAATTTAATGAACTAGAACGTCGTTATCACGTTGAAGGACTTGCATGTAAATGATAACTCTGTCCTGTAAATGTTATGTTTTCCCATCCTCTTAATAATATTGTACATGCGGTGGAGTAGTGGCGCAGTGGTTAGCGCTCAGCGCCACGAACCCGGCCATCTCAGTTCGATTCTCGGCGATTGCTAACGGGTGACATCAGTCCCGTGTTACACTCCCTTTGATCAACACTGTCCCGCGAGTGGAAAATCGCAGTCACAAAACCCCTGAAGACTGACACGGCGTGGGAAGGCCTCCATCTAGCAGTTGATCAATATATGTCCTGTATATTTGTTTAAACCGAGGTAGATAGCTCAAAGGATACCTCAGGCACGTATCGTCACAGGCAGTATCCGTGTACAATGTGAAGGCACGTATGCATTGGAGTAGAACATACGAAGGCGTTGACGCTATGAGCGACTGTGAATGTGTAATGTTTGTTGTTAGGTATTAAGTGCACCCGACACCACAATAACAAGGTGTCTCTTTCTTCAGTGTGGCTACTCAACACGTACGACGTACTTTTCTAGTGTTTATATTTATCGCTGTATAGACTCACAAAAATACGACGACAATTGTGACTTTAAACAAAAAGGGGTCACCGTAGTAACCCTGAGTGCTTATACAGAACACTGCCACGATACCCTTAACACCGTAGGGCTTTTCGCAAATTGCAGGTATACGTTAATATAGCGTTGTAATTTAATATTCCGATCAAATACTGTCCTGCAATGCTGCTGCATTACCAGACACTTTCATAATAAATGACAGCCGTTTGGCAATCTACTGCTGAATTAGGGCCTCTCTACGCCGTGTCGGTCAAAGGGGCTGTTTAACCATACTTCACCACGCTGGTCAGTGCGGGTTGGTGAAGGCGGGGAGCAACATTATATTTTGCCGTATCTCCTCTCTTCTACTGCCTACCAAGTAGCCCTGAAAGCCCTATGATAAACCTGTTTTTTTTGCATGCGATTACCCATCCAAACGCATTCACCAGGCTCAACGCTGCTTAGCTTCCGATATTTGACGAGTTCGGGTGCATTCCGGGTCATTTGGTCATCAGGCGTGGGTCGACAAGGAACACTGCAAATTATTATTTGACAGTGGTGGTCATTATTCAGGGGATTGGCCACTCACAGAAGGTGCACACGCTATTAATACGCACGCGGCGAAGTCGTCGTTACCGCGGGTAACCCATAGCGATAACCTGGGCACATAACACGCGGTCTGCTCCCCCTAGGGAACAGGCAGCACCGGGTTTGCTCTGCCGAGGTGCAAGCACCACGGGGAGGAGACGGAGCTGGCAACGAGACCGATGTCCTCATCCACAGTAAGAGGACGCCTATACCCCCCCCACCACCCAACTCACCACTGCATACACACTCCCCGCTGTTGCAACAACATCTGGGATGGAGCGCTCATGAGTTCACTGTTCTTTGATATCAGAATCATTTGAACCCGAAATCGCGCACGGTATTCACTCACACTCCAAGCGAGATAGAGAGAGAGAGAGCGTCTCAGGAGGGGCGAGAGGCTATACCTAATAAATGAACTTGAACTTGAGGAACCACGGACGAGCAGGATCGCAGCCACGCGGTGAACTGGCGCAAAAAATTGCCCCAAGCTCTGCGATCCTCGATATTACACGGTGCTTCAAAAAAATGTTCACAATTCTGAGAATTTGCAATAATACAGGGGCTCTGGAGACCACCTGGAGAAGATTCCAGGCACGTGTTGACAATGATGGCGAACAAGTGGAGACTAATTTTTTAAGCTATTAACATACATTTGGCATTATGTTACAGTGCATAATCCGTTATCTTTCCATTAAAAACGATAGTCTCATATAATTTTGTTAAAAAATTTGAAGCACCCTGTATATACGAAGGTGTTCTTGGCCAATGAATAAGAGTTTACATGCGGGAGGAGACCGGCAAAACACTCTTCCGTAAATACGGAACGGGTGGACTTGACATTTTTTTTGCTGTACTTAAATCTCCAGGCGAACTCGGATACAGCACATTGACGCCTACGGGAAGTGAGTTTTTACAGCATGTGTGTGCGGTGATCCTCCACAGTGCTGGTCAACAGGCGTGCACAGCCACTACTGGTCGGACACAATTCAATCTAAAGCAGTCGGGTTTATTGATAATCCAACGCCCGTATAGGACATGGGCCTTTGTATTCTTCGCCCAGCAGTGGATCGACATAGGGCTATGCATTGAATTTATTTAATTGCAATGAATTAATTATTACTGCGCACGCAGATATAAATGATAAAAAAGGGGCCCAACTTGCATTGATTATTCAGACAGCTTTAATTGGAAATCCACGACACTTGTAACCTCTATCCGAATCAAAGAATGCGATCGCGCGAAACGAGATAATTTCCCACAGCGTTTTCCACCACGCGTGCGACAACTCAAAAAAGCCCTTCCAGTAAGCACGTCTGCAGCCGTCACACGGCGTTTTACACGCTGACCGTTCGGGTCGGTTGCCAGAAGCAAACGAAAAAAATTCAATGGACACTGACTTCAACAATATCCACAACGAACGGGAGCCGTATCCATTTCAGGGCGACTCAGCAAAAAACAAAAACACCGCCCACTCTGAGCTCATGGCGTGACCAGGTGACAGCCACTGTTGGAGACATTCAGCGGCAGAGCCAGCAGCTAAACTTAGCCTTTCTGGCTGCAATGGGCACTTGAGTAACTAATGAAGAGTTATCTAAGTTTTGTTTTACTTTTGTGTGGCCGTTAAAGCAACAGCGGGTTCAAGCCGCGCGTTATATATACGGGTGGTGCGGTGGTTGGCACACTTGCACCGCGAACCCGGTCATCTGGGTGCGATGTTCGGCCACAGCGCTAAATATCAGAGGGCGATTTCGATTTAAAGCTTTCGTGACTGCAGGGATTCATCTTCTTGGTTCTTTCGGTAAAGTCACGTAGAAGAGAAGTAATAAAATAATAAAAATAAAACATAATAAAATTATTCTCACGACGTTTCAGACTCTGTCGCCTCGACGGACGTGGTTTTCACCTGAGGACGGCTGCTTGCGTTGTGGCCGAAACGTCGTGATAATAATTTTATTATGTTTTATTTTTATTATTTTATTACTTCCCTTCTACGTGACTTTACCGAAAGAACCAAGAAGATCAGAGGACGAGTGATATCTGAACTGGTCTTGCATGTTCTTGGTTCTTTCGGTAAAGTCACGTAGAAGGAAAATAATAAAATAATAAAAATAAAACATAATAAAATAATTCTCACGACGTTTCGGCCACAACGCAAGCAGCCGTCTTCAGGTGGAGAACAGGTCTGTCGAGGAGACAGAGTCTTGCATGCCCCCCCCCCACCACCCCACCTCACGAATTTGACCTGATCAGCGTTGTCGAGTATGGTCAAACAATCCCCCCTTGACTGAAATGGCATGGGGAATGTTTAATCCAGCAGTGGATTAACAAAGACCTGTACACTCGCATCATTACTGTACATGTATATAATCTGCAGGCATGTAGCGATCTATCGATTCATGATAAATACATTGAGTAGTGCGCATAACAATGGGAATTGTGATTTATGCAAAAATTATGTCAACGATAAAATAGTTTAGTACTTTTAGACGAATTCAGCTAATGTTACAAGTGAGTCAAACAATACAGAGATACAAACCAGGCAACGTAAATGAATACGATTTAAAACCTCGAGTCCTGACATTTCACGAAATCACTGGACGTAGGGGATTCATTTGTGAACCGTTACATGCCCAGTTAAGCGGCAATGAAGATATTAAAAAAACTAGCCCAGAAAACAGCCAAAACTACCGCCGCATGGACAGCATCAATGACAAATGCATACAGTTGTTTCCCTCCAACTGCGCGCATACATCACAGTTCGTGCTGTATGCACACCACACGGCACAGTACAATATTGACACCAATTCACTCGGAATGCAGCCAACTTCAAATTCTCGTGAAAAATGTTTTTTTAGAAGTGGCCAGGTTGGCACAGTGCTCGCAGCACCGCGCTGACACTGCTGGGTTCGAATCTGGGCAGCTGCTTGTGATTAATTTGGATTCTCCGATGCAGCAAGTTCATGGTCTCGGCCTTGTTACCATTGACTGCATTGAACAAATAAAAACCTCATCATTATATTTTCGATTATTTTTGTAAATTTCACCTTTGACAATTTTAAGAGATCAGTTTGACTGCCATACGACTAATATTTCTCTGCGGCGGCGCCTACGAGAAAATTGGACCCGATGTGTGTCAATAAAAACATCAAGATAATTCATCTCAATAGTAGTTCTGCGATATCTGCATCCACAGTCTGTTCTCGAACACAAAGGGTTGCATGAGTGTACAAGAGTTCCAAATAGACAACTCATCTCAGTACATGACCGTAAGAGCGTAATCGGAATAAATATTAGGAAGAGTATAAGAAAAATGTATTTCAAAAGACATTTGTGTGTGTTTTCTTTGCATTCAGTATTGGACCCCACTTTGCCCAAGTCAAACAAGTCGCTGTTGAGCCTGCAGTGCACATGGGCCAGTCAGTCACCAGTCACCGTGCTCATTTGGGTCAATCCTCAACATCAGGTGGAGGAAGCGTTGTCCACCGCCTCAACATCCCAGCCACGTGCTCCCTCCTCGCAGCCGACCTCTTCCAGGTTTGGGACCGACAGTTATGGACCTCAAGAGACAGTGAAAGAAATACCTCAAGCTACGCTGGCCCTACTCACGGCCTCCCTACACTCATCATCAGAAGACCTCGGGTCACATTCACGCGCGGTTGGGTGCGAGGTTTCACTGGGCAGCAGTGAGCCCGGCATTGCCGTGGTCAACACAACAGGTGAGCTGCAGTGGAATCTTATGCAATAGCATTACTGGACAGGACATTGGAAAATATGCTAACACATTCCTGCGGAGGGAGCTGGTAGGAACGTTGGGTTGCTCGGTCAATGGCCAGGGTCAACGGCGGCGTGGTGTATTTCGCAAATATGGCCGACTGTGAGGGCGGGCACAAGCCGGCGTGAGTAGGTTAAACATTCAGTTTTATAAGGGCACCGCGGGGTGACCAGCCCCTCCACACCCAGCCCCACCCCTCCCACCCCCCACCCAGCCCCACCCTCCCCACCCAGCCCCTCCCCACCCTACCCTCCCCACCCAGCCCCTCCCCACCCTCCCCACCCAGCCCCTCCCCAACCTCCCCTCTCCACCCAGCCCCACCCCTCCCATTTTTTGATGCAGGACGGACAGACACAATAATCCCCTGTGGGCTGGTGTAACCAGGAGGTTCCGACCATTATTACAAATTCTGTAGTTATAGAAGCATACCTATGACGGTATCAAACTATAAAATTTAGATTTAAGGCTTTCGTGACTGCAGGGATTCATATTCTTGGTTCTTTCGGTCAAGTCACGTGAGAATTTTGTTGTTTTTTATTTTTATTATTTTATTATTTCCCTTCTACGTGACTTTACCAAAAGGACCAAGAATATAACATTTAACTTAAACTTTTTTTTATTTTACCGGGTAAGGCCCACTGAACTATTCAACTCTTTTTCAGAACTCGACCTGGCCACAAATGATAGCTCAACGAAGTGACTTATCACTTAGAATTCATAGCCACCAAATACTCTTAAACACAAGATTTTTAATGTGAAGGGGAAAACCGGGGGACCTGAAATAACCCACGTGATTACGGGGAGGACATGCAAACTACAAATATACAGCAGACGTCAGGGTCAGGATAAAACCCACAACCTCCAGTCTACCAGGCGCGGTAGTTATTAATGTCTCACCACCGTGGCGCCCAGTCTCAGACGCTAGATAGTTTGTCCAGTACGGTACTTGGATTGGTGGCCACATGGTTAAAACAAGTGTTGCAAGCTGCTGTGGAGCTTCGTTGTCAGCAGAGTAGAGTTCAGCAAAATCCATTGCTTACTGTGCAATGCTCCAGTGTCGATGCTTCCCATCTTCATCAACTTGCATTGCCCTCGTGGTAAGGTATATCAGGGACGTGCGGTCAGGGGAGGCAGCTATCACATCTGCCTCACTGAGGGGCACGTGTCTAACACGCCCCCTCCGTGAGGACACGCCCCCTCCGTGAGGGCACGCCCCCTCAGTGAGGCCACGCCCCCTCAGTGAGGCCACGCCCCCTCAGTGAGGACACGCCCCTCAGTGAGGACACGCCCCCTCCGTGAGGACACGCCCCCCTCAGTGTGTGAATCTGGCTCTGACACGAGCCAGTGCCTCCCCAGCCAATGACCTCACCGCACGTCACTGAGGTATAGTCAAATAACCTCCATGATTTAGATTTGAAGTTTTCGTGACTGCAGGGATCCATACTCTTTGGTTCTGTCGGTAAAGTCACGTAGGTAGAAAATAAATTAAATCACGACGTTTCGGGCGCAACACAAGCGTCCGTCATCAGGTGGAACAACCACAGCAAGAAACAATTGCCAAAGTTGTTTCTTGCCAAAATTGTTTCTTGCTGTGGTTGTCCCACCTGATGACGGACGCTTGTGTTGCGCCTGAAACGTCGTGATTTAATTTATTTTCTACCTACGTGACTTTACCAAAAGAACCAAAGAGTAGCCTCCATGATCCACATTGTATATGGAAACCCTCGTCCAGCAGTGGATTGACAAAATGGCTGCACGTATACGTCACCAGTCACAATGTATTGTAATGATTGTACAACCCTCTTAGATGGGCCGTTCAACTTTTTTTATTCAAACAGGGGAAATGTGTGGCTGATCGGTAAACACTTGCCTGCCATTGCTACTCTACACACTTTAGCAACCAGACTTTTTTTTGTCTCATCCACACTGTTCAACTACCACACTGGAGCTCAAACACTTCTCTTTCTGCTTCTTTCCTTGTCGTCGATTCTGTAATTTACGAGAGAAGACCCTATCAAGACAGAAAAATAAATAATATTTTTTTTTATTAAACACGCTTTAATTAAATGTACCGTACTCGTAATGGCAAAACTCCACGACTCCAGGAAGTGGCCCCGATGCTTGCCATAACGTAAGGGACCGTGGCCAATTACAGCCAACGTCAGTTTACTGTGAACAATTAGACCCAAGCCGAAACATAACATGTAAAAAATAATGTTTAAATTTTTTTTATGATAGAATATAGTATTGTCATCAGTAAAACATAAGTATACGAAATTTGCAGTCGATGCCACATTGGGAAGTGGGTTAAAATTGAGTTACAAGATTTGAAGATACGACAACAACAACAGACAGTGAGTTAAAGAAAAGCGTGTAAAAAAATAGTGCGGGCCAGAAAACCCATACGTTTCAAACTACGCGCAGAAATGTGTAAAAAGCACTCACAAGCAGTTCCTGAACCAGGGTATTGTGTCCTCTTTTGCTGGGTCACCATCAAAATATATTTGAGCAAATGTGGCAAACTGAAGGCCCCATGCTGAAGCAAATACAACACCTGAAAAATCACCCAATTGCAATTACACATAGCAACATCGCCCCCTACTGCGAAAACGATGCTTTCCTGGGTAAACAAGGCTAATAATAAACATACTGTATATGTAATTGGTGCATCCTGTTATCCTGAATTTGCCACAACTTCTGGTTACTCCTCTTATCTACAGATTCCCGCAGATAATAGGATTGTCACACGGATAACAGTGTCAATTTGGAGGTGTGAATAAGAAGTGCAGATAACAAAAGGGTGGGATATGGTCTAATATCGCTGCATTATCAGAATGTTTCGTCACACCCTGCCAATGCGGCACATGCCGTTGATATTTAATTGGTGGCGGAATAGTGACGTGTTTGTTTCACGCAGTCTCTTTACAGGAATTTACAACTTGCTCCTTCATGAGCAGACTGACGCCAAGAGCCAATGTCGATCCAACGGAAGAGCCACATGAAGGTGACCTACCATGAATTACCATCATCATCATCAATATCATCACAGATGAATATCATCGCAGATGATATTGATGCAATTTTTTTGTCACGTAGACTAAAAGAACACCAAAGAAACATTAAATTATCTCAAACACAACTGTCGGCAGTGGCAGAGCATGCTTGTCAACAAGGACACTCAATTGATTCTTGCCCGATGAAGCTGATTGTAATTATCAGCGAAACGTCGTACTACTCAAATTTTAAAATGCTGTTGATTCTCTCTTCAGCACGCCAGTGGGCTAAAGAAAAGTCAATTAATTTGTCCTTTGAAAACGTGACACATTTTTTACTGTTTGGCCGTGTCGGGTGGTGGAGGGTTACGACACATTTATAAATAATGCAATCTGACCCAAAAACCTATATTATGAATGATATTGATGCTGATGACCACCGCTCACTTACAGACTTTGAGGTATGGGATGTTGGGTGCTACATTACCAAATGCGCTATAAATTGACACCTAATTACGACAAAATAACAAGTTAATTGAAAATAACAACAGGTGTCTTTTTCTACTGTCACACAGGGATGGAAAAATCGACATTTCAGCTGACTGGCTTTCAAAAAATTTTGAGGTTGACAGAGAAAGAGTGCTACATAGTCTTGGCGAGTGATGTGGAGTGGTAGTTAATGTCAGATAATGGCCTCGCTGGGACGCAACGGAGCATTCGATTTACCATTCAAGATTTGAAGTTTTCGTGACTGCAAGGATCCATACTCTTTGGTTCTTTCGGTAAAGTCACGTAGGTGAAAAAATAAAAATAAATAAATCACGACGTTTCGATTGCAACACAAGCAATCATCATCAGGTGTGACAACCACAGTAAGAAAACAGTTTTTTTTACCGAAGTGGGAGAGATGCCGGAGTTAAGGCGTTTATATAAGTCAGAGAGGGGAGGGGGTAAGGGGAAGGGGGAGCGTTGCGTGTCCACTAAGGGCTGGGACGTGAGACTGGGCATGATGGGGGGGGGGGGGCTAGAAGTAAGTGGATGATGGTGATGATGATGATTGCTTGTGTTGCAATCGAAGCGTCGTGATTTATTTCATTTATTTTTTTCACCTACGTGACTTTACCGAAAGAACCAAAGAGTATAGATTTACCATTGTTAGTATCCATTCTGGAAGTTAATAGGTGGTCTGACTGGAGTGTAATAGGCGAGTTAGTGGAAGTCAATTCTTGAATAGCATTAAGGTCAGGAAACTGATTTTGGCTCTGAGCCTCAAGACGAGTGTAGCCTCCGCTTCTCCCGTCATCCTCAACGCAACCTCAAGAAGACCAGCCATCAGAAACGCAGACACCTCAAGTGATGGAATAATGAAATATATTATTTTTTAATAACCTGTTATTTTCCGTATAAGTTCGCTGAAGCAGCAATTTGACCACGTAATTACCATTCCATTATCGGCATGAAGGGTTCAGCGATAATGTATAATTGTTAACCTAACATTTCAAAAACTCCTGAGTCACCCACTATTATTATTACTATCACTTAGCAACACAGCAAATGTATCAATTTGTTTTTCACGATGAAAGTGGCTCCCTTGAGAGGTCAGGAAATTACTGTGAAACTGAGGAGCGATGGAGAACTTCTAAATGTAGATCGATGTGTTTCAGTCAGTACCCAGCTCAAGGCCTTGATCCCATCGTTGGGAGCTCTTCTTTATTTTTCAAAAGTTTATATATAAAAAAAAAACCAGGCAGCACTTGCCTTTCAGACGACACGAGCTGGGAACGATTCCAATCCTAAATATAAAGCGCTGCAGCATCCAACATCGCCATCTCGTGAAATGGAATGCCACGCCACTGCGATGCTTGCTGACGATGTGTTCACGTGAACTGAGAAACGTTTGCGATGACTGAGTTTACGTTTGCAATGACCGGGTTCACGTTTTCAGTTATCGAGGAACGTTTGTGATGACCGAGTTGAACTACTAGACTAAAACTAAACTATTTTGTATTTATTTTACCATTGAGCTGTAAAGCCATTTTTGAGAAGCGACCTTGCCACAAATGATCGCTCAACGAAGTGGCATATCATGTGGAAATTGATCGCAGCCAAACACTCTAAACGCGTGTTTATAAATGTGGAGGGAAAACCTGGAGGACCTGTAAAAAATCCACACGACCACTGGGAGAACATGCAATCTTCAAATATACAGGCATCATCAGGGTCGGGATGGAACCCACTACCTCCTGCATATCAGGCGAGGTAGTTAACATCTCGCCACCACTAACGATGTGACCGGTGTGGGTGTGTGTGTTTATCGATGGCTCACAGGCCAGAAGGACGAGGAGCTGGCGTTCCGACAGGAGCAGGCCGCGATCGTGAAGGTCATTCTCTTCGTGGTGTGCACGATAGCAGCCATTGTTCTCATGGTGTTCGGAGTGTTTGAGGTCAAAATGGAGGTGCGCTCAGCTAAGATTTCCACACACACCACCAAATGATGACACGTGGGACAGAAGATGATTTGGGGGTGGTGGTGGGGGGAATTTGGGGCAGAGACTTTGGATAAAATCATTTTGGGAGGGGAAGGCCAGAGCAAGTGGTCAGGGCAAGGCTCGAAAGTGGTTTGGGTAGACAGCCAGACCACAGTGGAAGAGTGTCTCCATGAAACAAAGAGACATGGAGAGGGACGAAGAGAAAGATACACAGACATGGAGAGAGATGAAAAGTATACCTTGAAACATAGTGACGGATAGAGAGATGTGGTGAGACACGAAGAGCAGTGCTTACTCCCACTGTTATTTAGTCTGTTTTAGGGGGCATTAGAATAGTGTAGAGAATGGAGGAGGCAAACAGCAGGACCCATTTCAATCCCTGCATCAGGGCCCATACCAACCACACGATACCACTCCTCCTCAACGTTTTGTTGCCAAATTTTGCAAAGCAAACCATTCAACTAAAAATGGACATCGTTATGTAATACCTGCACTTGTATATTTTTTTACAAATATCATGTGTACATAAATGTGATTCTTATCTAATGGTATTGCTTTCACACTCTCATGTTTTACAGCAAATAAGTGCTGTCGTCTGCAAATTGATCAGGGCACGGGATGGAAGAGTAAGTGCTACAATCTTATTATCACTATCATCAGCGTGTTGGACGAAGGTCTCTCCAAGTCTTTTAATAAATACGCTTTCATATTATATAGCGTCATTCATGCCAACAGCATCCCACAACGCTGTACATGAATTTTATACAAGGACCAAATCTCATGGACGCGGTCGGCTGCGTACGGCGCGAAAGAAGCCCAACACACACAGATCCACAATGCATCTCGCTGTGCCGCACGAACTCATCTCATTGCTCTGATCTCATCACTGATGTCATCACTGATCTCATCTGATCATCACTGATCATCACTAATTTCATCTGACCTCATCACGAGCTGATCTCATCGCTCCATAATCTGCGGTGGTCATTCTCTTGTGCGTGTTTCTTGCTCAGTCTTCGTCACTATCAAAAGTCTCTTCCATCGATCATTATCCTTGATAGCGATGTCTACTACTCAAGCCCATTTACTTTTCTTAACAGTCAACATGATGTTCCTAATATGTGTTTTTTTAAGTCACGTGTTCCTCTTTGTCAGTGTAATTCCCAGCATGCGCTGCTGCATGTGTCTTTGTGCACTTTCCAGCTTTTGTTCCACTCTTTGTCAATGTCCACGCGTCCCATACATGCGTCTTAGCAGGTAATATACACTCATTTTCTTCCATCGGCATATTGTATAGATATTTGCTCTTCAATTTTATCAAGTAAAATTTTCTAAAAACATTCCAGCCCACTTGCACTTGTTTCATTGTCATAATTTTTTTATCGCAGTCCACCTTTAATAAATGATACTATTATGAATTTAGTGGTAGACTCAGTGCAAATTGACGCAGTCATCCGAGCTTTCACAAACCAAGGCCCGAGTAAAAATATTTAGAAACTATTAAATGCATTTACACCAATGGAAACGGCTAAAATGAGACTGCGTGAAGAAAGTCACAAAGGGGGTTGGGCAAGTAATTCACAGTGTCAGATGCTTTCCAAATAAAATGATTGCAGAATTTTTGATTTACACTTAAAAGGGGAAATTACTAACCATCTCAGATGTGCTGAATAATTGAAGATCTTAATCAAGAACGGCTGCAACGTTTTGTTCAAGATAAATGAGACAATTAAAAAGTCACTTACATCATATTCGCTAGACAAATGAAGATATTAGTTGGAGAGACACGACTGCAAAATATATTCTACGTCAGTTATTGAAAGTGGCCCGGTATCAACATAAATAGACTGCAAGTATACGACTTGAATAGAATCGAATCTCATACCCATGGGTCAATGTGTGTATTGCGAGCTTGAGAAGCGACTGATAATAGACGCTCCGTTACTTGCTGAATGACTTCTGTTATACTTCACAGAGCAAGGCGGAACCTGCTCGTGGAGTTCGTGAAGCCAGGAATGGGAGCACGCAGGAGCATCGGCACTCGTTTCAGAAGATCCCTGCTCATAAATCCGACTTGATCCTCGTAGAGACAAAGTTTTAGATCCGTGTGGGTGTTAGGATCTCAGGATACAATACTAGGCCTTGATTTGTTTTCAGCATAAAGCAACATTGATTAATCCTTATTCCTGAATATAAAGTTGCGTGGAATTCACCATTATTTATGGACATCACTAGCAAGTATTCAATTAGACATGGGTGTTCACTTTAGCTGTAAACATTTCAAAGTGGAAGTGTATGCAACATTTCTGGGTTATATCAGAGCCATGAATGTTGCAACCTGCAACGTTTGAAAGTAACATTGTTTATCAGGTTGGATGTGGTTAAGTATAACTTTACGCACTTATATATATAAATGCAATAACTTTTTAAAATATAGTACACAAATAGGTGATTTAAAGAGGAAATCAGGAACATCGGCATGCTTGGCATATCAAGATGACGTCACCGTTCCTGTGCACATTCTTGTGAAAGTCACCAACTCAAAAGGGATGAGATTATGGATGTTTTTATATTTATATACAGCAGTGTAACGAGGCAACTGTATACCGGTTCCATCCTGCAAGGACTCATCAGTACAATGCAGGCATCATTGCATAGTGTTTCCACGAGGGTTGCTACTTGTCTTGGTCTTCCAGGGATCACGCTCTTGTCGAGGTAGCTGACCTGGATAATCCGTTAGTCTTCACGCAACATTTGGCAGTTGTATAATAATATGGTGCTCAAAAAAAATGTGTTCCCATGTGGTTGTCCTCTCTTCTGGTATTGTGTGATATTCTTTTTTTCCAGTGATATGTCCAGTTCTTTTGTATTTCAGAGGTATCTCAAAGGTGGCAACCCTAGACAATTAAAAAGTTACATCAAGTTCGCGAAACAAAATAGCTGCAATCGGCCCATAAGCCCCCGGCTCTTGCATTAACTGCGTTGCAACGTCATTTTATGTCCGTTGAAGGCGAACGACACGGCAATCTATTCCTCTCGACGAGCTCTACACGAAGCGCTAATCAAAGTTTAAAAGTTTTGTTTCTTCTGCGCATTCGTCCTCGCTGCTGCGCTTGGGCGACATGACAACAGAATGATCCGTGCCAGGTGGGTCGCGGCCTTTATGTGCGTGGGACGGAGTCGCCAAAAATACATGAATTACGATTTTGACTTGCCCCAGGGTCCCGCCATAAGGTTCATTATGGGAAAACTCGGGTTTGGTTCAGGGTTCATAATATCCACCCCTTATGTATGTTACTCTACTTCAACCCAAACATTAAACAGGACGTATTTTGAATGTAAAATTCGATTAACGTTTTCTAGTGTTCAATAAAACTTCGTTTACAATGCACATTATCAGAGTTATGTTCTTTTGTTTGTATTATGACTGCAGGTATTGCGGTCTATGCAAACATGACTCCTTGTAAAAAGGTGTCAGTTTTGTTGCCAGATAGAAGGGTAAAGAACCAATTATCATATTTTTACTGGCAAATGAGGTTCCCATAGTGTAGATGCTTGCCCCGAGCTCTCATACTCTGATGGTGCATTGTCTTTGAGTTGTGCGCCTTTTGGCGTCATCTGGTCCAACCCATATGAGACTAGGCTCTAAGGAAAGCTGTCTCGGGTGTGGACCAATCAACTTCAAGGACAGTGCACATTATCAGAGTTATGTTCTTTTGTTTGTATTATGACTGCAGGTATTGCGGTCTATGCAAACATGACTCCTTGTAAAAGGGTGTCAGTTTTGTTGCCAGATAGAAGGGTAAAGAACCAATTATCAAAACTTCGTTTGATAAATGTATAGAATTAAAACAAAGAACGCAGTGTACAATACTGTACATGTATCCGTGTGCAGCATGGGTGGAAAAAACCCGATTTTTCCAGCGACAGGCATCGGGTTTTTTCTTTAATACAATTAAACACGATTTAGGGGAATTAAAACCTGGTTTAATGAATACGAAACTCTGATCCAAGGCTTAGGCTGCTTCCTCGTCGGTGCTGCTATTATTGTACTCGGGGGGCCGTCGGGCACGGGGTAGTCGTAGAATGCGGCGGGCAGGTTGGTCTTGATGAACACGAGCTTCTCCTCCACAATCGTGGGCGCCAGTGAGTTCCTTGGCTTGGAATGGATGAAGCCCATCGTTGAGAAGTTCCGCTCGAATGCCGCAATTAGAACCAATTAAACCGGATTTCTCCCAATCTCAGATGATCGGGTTTAACATAAAAAGACAATTAAACCCGACTGTGCCACCCTTGGTGTGCAGTAATGTAAACTGCAGGAAGAAAAATCTGAACCCCACTGCCTCACTGGAGGCTAGGAACACTTGACCTGGGACCCGGTGTAACAGGCCGGAGTATACCCGGGGTTAAAACGGCCGAGGTTCGATTATACCCGGGTATATTATGGCCTAGGACAATTTATACTCTGGGGTATATTATGGCCTCGGCCAAATGATGCCCCTCTAGGCCAAATCATACCCCCATGATAGTAATTGTGTTGAGCGATATACACATGAATTAGTAAATTTTTCCAACATTTTATTTAAAACTGTAAACACATACACTGTGATTGCTTCAACCAGAAAAACTTTAATAATAACCCTAAGCCTAAAAATGCTTCAATTGATCAAATTGAGATTCTTACTTCCATTTATACGCTTTTTAGATACAGATTGAAGTTCGTTGTCGGCTGTTTTGCCTTTGAACTTTCACACGGGGCATATTCTGGCCTGGAGTGGTATGGTCTGGCTCAGTCTGGTTTAAACCCCCGGGTATAGTTTAGCCTAGGACACTTTATCCCCCTAGGGTATACTCTGGCCTGGGCCAAACTATACCTGGGTTTAATCGGGGCAGGGGTTATTTTAGCCTGTTACACCGGGATGTTGCCGCTTTCGGGGCCAGGGTGGCGAATTTGTCCTTCCGTGGCAGCATCATCGCGGGCAGTGCAGTTACGATGCATCCAGGAATCTTGCGTTCAACCGCGAATGGCCGAGCCACAGATGCGCGATTGGCGAACCGTATCTCAATACATTTATCTGAAAACCGCCACAACTAAACCCGTCGAGAGGGAAGGAATTGTCGTACTTGCAGAAGCCGGATCTAAGGAATATTTTAATTGATTGTGGGACCATAGCATGGGAGTGAAATGAAATAACAAAACTTTAAAAGAACTCGTTCAAAGAAAGACACGTAGCAATAACAAAAACAAACCCACACATGAGCAAACGGTGCAGAATAAATAATTACATTTAAGAACACGCTGGAACATATAACATGATATGCGTTTCGATGTACTGTCTTGCAAGTAAAAAAAAGTGTGTATGTTCCCTACTGATTGTGTGATACGTAGTGAATGTATTTAGAGTGGAATTTGTAATGGGTAGCTGTCAAACCACAGTGTTTCTATTAAAATATTAACAATGTAGCAACTTTGTCCTTGTTGGTAGATAATGGTGAGGATTTGAATAGGATGGATGCCTGTAATCGGGCCATGTACCGGAGCTGAAATATTTTTTTAAAAATATGCACACGCTGAGGTACACAATAGGGATGAGTTTTCGAATTCAACACTTGCAACCTAGCGTTGTGACATCGTCTCATTGCAGCCATCACCGCCCTGGATGGGTCTCAAACGGCGTGGCTAACATGTGAAGCTCATCGCAAATGAACAAATCAGACTGTGGTGCTGCAGCGGTTTCTAATGGTGAACAACTTAAAATGCCATCTTCGTTAGGCAATTCGCGCTGAAAAGAATCGTTCCGCTTGCATTTTTTTGAAACGCAACAAAGCAATTTTTTTCGAAAAGTTTTATTTAAATTACAAAAATAATTTCTCATCACCAGCCGCTTGGTGGGACGGCTTCTCCCCCTCCCAATGCCCCCTAGTGGACGAACCGCGCCTGGAGAGCCCAACCACCACCCGAGTAGAAGAGCCCCTTCTGCCAGCAAGTGGCGTTGAGCAAAGTCAACAATTTGTGTGGCCCACTGGGACAGAGGTGGCCGGGGCGAGGGGGGGGCGAGGGGGGGGCGAGGGGGGGGCGAGGGGGTGGGCGAGGGGGGGGGCGAGAGGGGGGGGGGGACGAGGGGGGGGGACGAGGGGGGGGGGGACGGGGGGGGGACGAGAGGGGGGGGCGAGGGGGGGGGGGGCGAGGGGGAGGGGCGAGGGGGGGACGATGGGGGGGCGAAGGGGGGGACGAGGAGGGGGGGGGGAATCGCCCCCTCTGACCTGGCAAGCCATTGCATCTCTCCCAAATCTGGAGGGAAATCGCCCCCTCTGACCTGGCAAGCCATTGCATCTCTCCCAAATCTGGAGGGAAATCGCCCCCTCTGACCTGGCAAGCCATTGCATCTCTCCCAAATCTGGAGGGAAATCGCCCCCTCTGACCTGGCAAGCCATTGCATCTCTCCCAAATCTGGAGGGAAATCGCCCCCTCTGACCTGGCAAGCCGTGCCGACGCCGCGCGGGCGACGAATCCGCGCTGCGCGAAATCGGAAGCCAACTCGGGGCTGCAACAACCACCACGACCACCACCATCGACCACCACAACCATCGTTAATTATTATTAAGACCGTCAACAACCACCACCAAGACCGTCAACCACCACCACCACCGTCAACCCCCGTCACAGCTGGACGATGCTTGCGTGTAGGAAGACAGGTATCGTGTGTGTGGATGTCGAGGAGGGCTGTCCGTCTGTCTCTGTGTCTCTCTCTCTGGGGTAATGGTTCGGGGATGCTGGCAGCGGTGGTGGTGGCAGGAAGGTCTCACGGTCACTTGTTGTGTTGCTTTGTCGTCCGTAACTACGCGCGCGTGTGTGTGTCACGGTGTGTGTGTGTGTCACGGTGTGTGTGTATCACTGTGTGTGTGTCACGGTGTGTGTGTGTCACGGTGTGTGTGTATCACTGTGTGTGTGTCACGGTGCGTGTGTGTCACGGTGTGTGTGTATCACGGTGTGTGTGTGTATCACGATGTGTGTGTCACGATGTGTGTGTGTCACGGTGTGTGTGTATCACTGTGTGTGTGTCACGGTGCGTGTGTGTCACGGTGTGTGTGTCACGGCGTGTGTGTCACGGTGCGTGTGTGTCACGGTGTGTGTGTCACGGTGTGTGTGTATCACTGTGTGTGTGTCACGGTGTGTGTGTGTCACGGTGCGTGTGTGTCACGGTGTGTGTGTCACGGCGTGTGTGTCACGGTGCGTGTGTGTCACGGTGCGTGTGTGTCACGGTGCGTGTGTGTCACGGTGTGTGTGTGTCACGGTGTGTGTGTCACGGTGCGTGTGTGTCACGGTGTGTGTGTCACGGTGTGTGTGTCACGGTGCGTGTGTGTCACTGTGTGTGTGTCACGGCGTGTGTGTCACGGTGCGTGTGTGTCACGGTGCGTGTGTGTCACGGTGTGTGTGTGTCACGGTGTGTGTGTGTCACGGTGTGTGTGTCACGGTGTGTGTGTGTCACGGTGCGTGTGTGTCACGGTGTGTGTGTGTCACGGTGTGTGTGTCACGGTGCGTGTGTGTCACGGTGTTGTGTTCACGGTGTTGTGTCCACGGTTGCGTGTGTGTCACTGGTGTGTGGTCACGGTTGCGTGTGTGTCACGGTGTGCGGTGTGTGTCACGGTCGTGTGGTGTGTCACGGTGTGGTCTGGTGTCACCGGTGCGTGTGTGTCTACGGTGTGGTGTGTTCACGGGTGCGTGTGTGTCACGGTGGCAGTGTGTGTCACTGTGTGTGTGTCACTGTGTGTGTGTGTCACGGTGTGTGTGTCACGGTGTCTGTGTGTTCACGGTTGTGTGTGTCACGGTGTGTGTGGCCACGGTGCGTGTGGTGTCACGGTGCGTGTGTGTCACGGTGCGTGGTGTGTCACGGTGTGTGTGTCACGGTGCGTGTGTGGCAACTGGGCGTGTGTGTCACGGTGTGTGTGGTCATAACGGTGCGTGTGTGTCACGGTGGCGTGTGTGTCACGGCGTGTGGGTTGTCACGGTGCGTGTGGTCATCGGTGTGTGTGTGTACACCTTGTGTGTGTGTCACGGTGTGGGTTTGTATCACTGTGTTGTCACGGTGTGGTTTGTCACGGTGTGATGTGGTGTCACGGTGTGTGTGTGTGTCACGGTGTGTGTGTGTGTGTGTATCACGTGTGTGTCACGGTGTGTGTGTATCACTGTGTGTGTCACGGTGTGTGTGTGTCACGGTGTGTGTGTGTGTGTCACGGTGTGTGTGTGTCACGGTGTGTGTGTGTCACGTTGTGTGTGTGTGTCACGGTGTGTGTGTCACGGTGTGTGTGTGTGTCACGGTGTGTGTGTGTGTCACGGTGTGTGTGTGTGTCACGGTGTGTGTGTGTGTCACGGTGTGTGTGTGTATCACTGTGTGTGTCACGGTGTGTGTGTGTATCACTGTGTGTGTCACGGTGTGTGTGTGTCACGGTGTGTGTGTGTGTCACGGTGTGTGTGTGTCACGGTGTGTGTGTGTCACGGTGTGTGTGTGTGTATCACTGTGTGTGTCACGGTGTGTGTGTCACGGTGTGTGTGTGTATCACGGTGTGTGTGTCACGTGTGATGTGTGTGTGTCACGGTGTGTATGTGTGTCACGGTGTGTGGTGTGTCACGGTGTGTGTGTGTGTGTGTGATCACTGTGTGTGTCACGGTGTGTGTGTGTATCACTGTGTGTGTCACGGTGTGTGTGTGTCACGGTGTGTGTGTGTGTCACGGTGTGTGTGTGTCACGGTGTGTGTGTGTCACGTTGTGTGTGTGTGTCACGGTGTGTGTGTGTCACGGTGTGTGTGTGTGTCACGGTGTGTGTGTCACGGTGTGTGTGTGTATCACGGTGTGTGCGTGTGTCACGGTGTGTGTGTGTGTGTCACGGTGTGTGTGTGTGTCACGGTGTGTGTGTGTGTCACGGTGTGTGTGTGTGTCACGGTGTGTGTGTGTATCACTGTGTGTGTCACGGTGTGTGTGTGTATCACTGTGTGTGGTCACGGTGTGTGTGTGTCACGGTGTGTGTGTGTCACGGTGTGTGTGTGTCACGGGTGGTGTGTGTGTATCACTGTGTGGTCACGGTGTGTGTCACGGTGTGTGTGTGTCACGGTGTGTGTGTCACGGTGTGTGTGTGTCACGGTGTGTGTGTGTCACGGTGTGTGTGTGTGTCACGGTGTGTGTGTCACGGTGTGTGTGTCACGGTGTGTGTGTGTGTGTCACGGTGTGTGTCACGGTGTGTGTGTCACGGTGTGTGGTGTGTCACGGTGTGTGTGTCACGGTGTGTGTGTGTCACGGTGTGTGTGTGTGTCACGGTGTGTGGGTGTGTCACGGTGTGTGTGTGTGTCACGGTGTGTGTGTGGTCACGGTGTGTGTGTGTGTGTCACGGTGTGTGTGTGTGTCACGGTGTGTGTGTGTCACGGTGTGTGTGTGTGTCACGGTGTGTGTGTGTGTCACGGTGTGTGTGTGTGTCACGGTATGTGTGTGTGTGTGTCACGGTGTGTGTGTGTCACGGTGTTGTGTGTGTGTGTCACGGTGTGTGTGTGTCACGGTGTGTGTGTGTCACGGTGTGTGGTGTGTGTCACGGTGGTGTGTGTGTGTCACGGTGTGTGTGTGTCACGGTGTGTGTGTGTCACGGTGTGTGTGTGTCACGGTGTGTGTGTGTCACGGTGTGTGTGTGTGTCACGGTGTGTGTGTGACGTTGTGTGTGTGTGTGTGCCACGGTGTGTGTGTGCCACGGTGTGTGTGTGTCACGGTGTGTGTGTGTCACGGTGTGTGTGTGTGTCACGGTGTGTGTGTGTCACGGTGTGTGTGTGTGTGTCACGGTGTGTGTGTGTCACGGTGTGTGTGTGTCACGGGTGTGTGTGTGTGTCACGGTGTGTGTGTGTGTGTCACGGTGCGTGTGTGTCACGGTGTGTGTGTGTCACGGTGCGTGTGTGTCACGGTGTGTGTGTGTCACGGTGTGTGTGTGTCACGGTGTGTGTGTGTGTCACGGTGTGTGTGGAGTGTGTGTGTGTGTGTGTGCCACGGTGTGTGTGTGTCACGGTGTGTGTGTGTCACGGTGTGTGTGTGTCACGGTGTGTGTGTGACGTTGTGTGTGTGTGTGTGCCACGGTGTGTGTGTGTCACGGTGTGTGTGTGTCACGGTGTGTGTGTGTGTGTCACGGTGTGTGGTGTCACGGTGTGTGTGTGTCACGGTGTGGTGTGTGGTCACGGTTGTGTGTGTGTCACGGTGTGTGTGTGTGGTCACGGTGTGTGTGTGTGTGTCACGGTGTGTGTGTCACGGTGGTGTGTGTCACGGTGTGTGTGTGTCACGGTGTGTGTGTGTCACGGTGCGGTGTGTTCCACGGTGCGTTTGTGTGTCACGGTGTGTGTGTGTCACGGTGTGTGTGTGTGTCACGGTGTGTGTGTGACGTTGTGTGTGTGTGTGTGCCACGGTGTGTGTGTGTCACGGTGTGTGTGTGTCACGGTGTGTGTTGTGTGTGTCACGGTGTGTGTGTGTCACGGTGTGTGTGTGTGGTGTATCACTGTGTGTGTCACGGGTGTGTGTGTGTCACGGTGTGTGGTGTCACGGTGTGTTGTGTGTCACGGTGTGTGTGTGTTCACGGTGTGTGTGTGTGTGTCACGGTGTGTGTGTCACGGTGTGTGTGTGTCACGGTGTGTGTGTGTGTGTCACGGTGGTGTGTGTGTGTCACGGTGTGTGTGTGTGTCACGGTGTGTGTGTCACGGTGTGTGTGTCACGGTGTATGTGTGTGTCACGGTGTGTGTGTCACGGTGTGTGTGTGTCACGGTGTGTGTGTGTGTGTCACGGTGTGTGTGTGTGTCACGGTGTGTGTGTGTGTGTCACGGTGTGTGTGTGTGTCACGGTGTGTGTGTGTGTCACGGTGTGTGTGTGTCACGGTGTGTGTGTCACGGTGTGTGTATCACGGTGTGTGTGTGTGTGTGTATCACGGTGTGTGTGTCACGGTGTGTGTGTGTGTGTGTGTCACGGTGTGTGTGTGTGTATCACGGTGTGTGTGTGTGTATCACGGTGTGTGTGTGTGTGTGTCACGGTGTGTGTGTGTGTGTCACGGTGTGTGTGTGTGTGTGTCACGGTGTGTGTGTGTGTGTGTCACGGTGTGTGTGTGTGTGTATCACGGTGTGTGTGTGTGTCACGGTGTGTGTGTATCACTGGGTGGCTAAAGCACAGCAAGTTGGCACAGTAGGGGGCACAGGTGGTGCATCAGCCAGTCATCTCGGTCATCTCGGTCAGTCGACCCGTGGCACCTGCTGGGTCTGCCCCGTGACCTCCTGCCAGCGGGGGCGTTCGACACTTCACGTGGCCTCAAGGTGCACTTGGCCTGGCACAAGCGTTGTGGTGACGTCACCGCCACTTAGTGGCGAATGGCGGTTGTTGTATCACTGTGTGTGTGTGTATCACGGTGTGTGTGTGTGTCACGGTATGTGTGTGTGTGTCACGGTGTGTGTGTGTCACGCTGTGTGTGTGTGTGTGTCACGGTGTGTGTGTCACGGTGTGTGTGTGTAGTGGGGAGCGGTAGTGAGCGGTTGGCGCGCTTCGCTATGAACCCGGTGAAGCGGGTTATCTGAACCGGTCATGGGCCTCCCCTAGGTCGACTCAGCCTCAAATTAGTACCTGCTGCTGTGGTGTGTAAACATCGCCACCGGGGAGACAAAGGCGGTCGGGCGTGGTGCTGGCCACCCACCCTCGCGTGTGTCTAGGCGCTCGCTAAACAGCAAAATATTGAGATCGGAAAAAAACTTGAAAAAAATGCGATAAATACGATTATCGTAGACAATTATATCGTGCGATATATCGCGGGTTTGCCATATCGCAGCGAAACGATGTACAGTACTATACTGGGTGGTGCAGATGGCTTGTGACCCCTAATAAATTGACCCCTGACATGTTTTTCTTTTGTTTTAAATAAACCCTTCAACATTTTTCTTTTAGAGACGTAAATAGGGGTCACAAGACATCTCGGCTACTCTGTACGGTACATGGTTGTGTATTCTTAGGTTTTTTCGGTAAAGTCACGTAGGTAAAAAATTCAAATTAATAAAAGTAAAATAAAAATAAAATAAAAATCACGACGTTTCGGAGGCAACACAAGCTTCCGTCTTCAGGTGGAACCGTCACAGCTTGTGTTGCCTCCGAAACGTCGTGATTTTTATTTTTATTTTACTTTTATTAATTTAAATTTTTTACCTACGTGACTTTACCGAAAAAACCTAAGAATATGAATCCTTGCAGTCACGAAAGCTTCAAATCTAGACATGGTTGTGTGTTGCTACAGGTAGGTCGGATTGATGTTAATTCGGGTATCGCTGTCGCAGTTCATGACTAAGCCAGCGGCCTCCTTCATCTGTGAACAATGTCGAGTACGGTACAGGGTCACGTTAGGTCGGTTTTCGGGTTACACGGGGGTAAAGTCGGGAGTTATCTGATGCATTGGTTACATGGGGTAATGGTTAGGGATGCCTATGGTATGCGTTAGTGGCCCAAGTGTAAGACAGCTGTGGCTTTCTGGATTAGGGGTTGCACGCTTGCAGACCTTGTTTTATTCCACATGCCGGTCGTGGAGGATTGGAGGTTACCCTAACCAAGCTGCCAACTTTTCTGCTTGTTAATGAGACACCCATCCATCCAGATGATTTATTCGTTATATTTCAGCAATTCTAAATCCAACAACGGATAAGGGCCTCCCCACACTACATCATTCAGAACAGTTTTTGATCATACTTCAGTGCAGATTGGTGATATTACAATTTAGAATGTGTTAGACTAAATAAGCCAATTTAAAGCCCCTTCATAAAAACAGAAAGTATCGCTGTGTATCACCCGACTTGCTCTGCCTGTACCCGTGTAGTGTTGAGGCTGGGTCCATGGGCCCGTCAGCTCCACTCCGCCTTCCAGATAGCCGAGCTGCCGGAGACACACCAGATGTTGCGGCAGACATGCCGGGACTTTGCCGACAGGGAGCTGACCCCGGTCGCGAGCAGGCTGGACCGCGAGCACAGCTTCCCCGGCGAGCAGGTCTGGCGTCCCAGGGATCCCTAACACACACCAGCACACCACCTCGATGCTGCCACACTAATTGACACGGTCACCCCACCGACACGGACATGCACACTCACACGTACACAGCCACACCACCGACACGGCCACACCACACACATGGCCACACCACCGACGCGGCTACACCGCCGACAAGGTCACACTGCTGACACACCCACACCACCAACACGTGCACACCACCAACACGGCCACACCACATACATGGCCACACCACCGACGCGGCTACACCGCCGACAAGGTCACACTGCTGACACACCCACATCATCGACACGGCCACACCACCGACACGGCCACACCACAAACATGGCCACACCACCGACGCGGCTACACCGCCGACAAGGTCACACTTTTGACACACCCACACCACCGACACAGCCACACCACCGACACGGCCACACCACCGACACACCCACACCACCGACACGGCCACACCACCGACACGTGCACACCACAAACATGGCCACACCACCGACACGGCTACAGCACCGACACGGCCACACCACCAACCAAGCCATGCCACCGACACAACCACACCTATGGCCACACCACTGACGTGGCGACACCTACATTACAACCACACCACCACCATCACAAGCAACACACCTTTCCCAAAATTAACACGTGCCACAGGGTGGCTTCATCGTGCCTATGTCAAACCACTGCTGGATGAAGGTCGTGGGGGTTGTTTGAGCACACGACTTCTTTCTCCCTGCTGAGTGCAGGTTGGTTAAAGTGAGTGCATAAATGTGGGGGTACGTAAGGCCCAGCATCGTAATCTATTTTTCCACACTGCCCTCTGCTGCCCATCACGTAGCCTGACAGCAGCCTATAACAACCTTCTGCGCGTGAAGGTCACCCATCAAAACACTATCCAGGCTCACGAAATCTGATGCAATCTGGTGCATTTCAGGTGGTTTGTTCTTAGACTACTACCAACAACACGCCTTTGCCAAAATCACGCACACACCACAGGGTGGACCCAGCTGTGAACTAGCTTCCACGGCTTCTGTACAGACAGTTTAACTTAGAGGCCCTTGCTCTGTTGCATCACTGGACATTCCTGTGCAACTGTGTATAAGGTTAACACACTGTGCCTGTTATATACAGCTGTGTGAACTCATTTGCCCTTGAACTCACTTTGAAATTACTTTAGAGGCAACTATTGTGGATTTTACTTGTGCCTCACATTTGCATGCACCTTGGATTCACCTTGGCCATCTCCTCACCTTCATGTGGGCACTGTACTACAAAAATGGATTATGAACTGAAATAAACCGGTGTAGCTTTTTTTTCACAACTCACAGCGATGGCTCAAGAAATGACTCGAGAACATCTATATGCTTGCTCATTCAAGTTTAAGTTTATAATGTTTTTTTCTGCCACATCAAATAGGCTCTTTTTTTATCAAGTGCATCTTTATTAATAACATTGTTCTTCTTGGTTATTTCGGTAAAGTCACGTAGAAGGGAAATAATAAAATAAAAACATAATAAAATACAATTCTCACGACGTTTCGGACACTACGCAAGCAGCCGTCCTCAGGTGAAGAACAGGGCTATCGGAAAGACAGCGTCTGAATGATTTAGTCTGAATTCAGTCTGAATGATTCAGACGCTGTCTTTCAGTCTGAATGATTCAGACGCTGTCTTTCCGACAGCCCTGTTCTTCACCTGAAGATGTCTGCTTGCGTTCTGGCCGAAACGTCGTGAGAATTGTATTTTATTACGTTTATTTTTATTATTTCATTATTTCCCATCTACGTGACTTTACTGAAAGAACCAAGAATATGAATCCCTGCAGTCACGAAAGCTTTAAATCGAAAAAAGACATTGTTATTACCATATTTTCCATATGATCAAATAACTCTGAATCTAAGCAGTTCTGAGCTTGAATAGCTGTTGGATGGGAACCATGTACGCCTCCTTGTCCGGTGACTCCAGGGCTGTGCCATGTGGTGGTCAGCAGAGGGCAATGCAGCAAAAGCCGTTGTTCAGTGCTACGCTGCTACATCCATGCTCCCCACCTTCATCACCCCACACACTGACCAAGCGAAGTGAAGTATGGTCAAATAACTCCTCACACCCCGCACAATATGGGGAGGCCCTCATTGCAGTAGTGGATTGACATAAGGGCTGCATTTACAGAGCCATGCTTTTCATTGCAGGCGTTTGATGCTAACAGACAATGTCAACAGGACACTCAACTGTTTCCATTGGCTGATTTGAGCAGGGAGGTTTATTGTTTTGGAAAATGTACAGTAAATGACTCTGTCCATACCCTCGCGCAGATCAAGAAGATGGGGGAGCTGGGGCTACTGGCCATGGCGGTGCCCGAGCAGTACGGGGGTGCGGGGCTGGACACGCTGGCCTATGTCATCGCGCTGGAGGAGATCAGCAGAGGCTGCGCGTCCACTGGTGTCATCATGAGTGTCAACAATGTGAGCCTCTTTCCTGGAGCCCATGTTCCCGTACAGCAAGACCCATCGTATAACACTGGTCAACAAAAAAAAAACATTTTTTTTCTGGCCTGGACTTTTGCAGCTGTTTTAGACTAATTTCAGGGTGCTGATTCCAAATCTGATCTCAGATTTTGCTCTATCACATCTCATTTTATGCTATCGGCATACCCCATTTTCATTGATTTTACCCGAAATTAACTCTGTCACTTATGATTGCAAGTTGTTGCGAGTCAGTGACTGCTTTAGTGTTAAAATATGGTGCTGTATTTTTAGGATAGTGTGTTTATAATATAATTTTATGTAGATATCCACATTTATTTAATATTTTTCTTCTGCAGTTTTTAATGAAAATGCAATATTTGCTATCTAAAAAACCTGATGTGATAGATCAGCACCCCAAAATTACCTTAAAACCGTTGGAATACCTTATGCCAGAAAAAAGTGTGTTGACCGGTGTAATCATCCCGTGTGCACCCTTGACCTTGCTCACAACCATTGCCTTTTTGGAGACACGGGACGAAATTCCATCTGTGGCCGCCCGCTTTGAGGCCACCACGACTATTTATGATGCCCTCTCCAGCCTTTCTGAGGCCTGTATCGAACTGCCCTACCTGCCATCCCACTCTTGTGGTCCTGGTCATAGCCTTGTATTGATTGTCAAAGTTTATAACCAGAGGTCAGATGCCAGGCCCATATGGCTGAGTCTGTGCCTGGCTCTTGGCTCCTGCCCTGGGCTTGTTGGCCTTGGACAATCCCGATAATTTGCTCTCTCTTTCATTTTCCCAGTTTAGCAATGATTTGTTATTCATGGGGGTGAGAGTGGTGACGCATCGGTTAGCTCACTGTGAACCTGCCAACCCAAGTTGAATTCCTGGCGACAATATCGTGGCGAGTAATATCTGAACCAGTCCTGGGCCCCCCCTTTTCCCAAACCCACACTGACCATCGTGGTGAATTTTAATCAAATAACTCCACAACGACTAATATGGTGTGAGGAGCCTTCATTCACACCTCAAATTAGCATGGCTAGCTTTGTCTGGTGCAAAAGAAGTTCAACGTACATCCATTAAATTTCGATGTAAAGCTTTCGTGACTGCAGGGATTCATCTTCTTGGTTCTTTCGGTAAAGTCACGTAGAAGGGAAATAATAAAATAATAAAAAATAAAATTATTCTCACGACGTTTTGGCCACAACGCAAGCAGCCGTCCTCAGGTGAAGAACATTATTGAATAATTGCCAACGGGCTGTTTTTTGATACGCAACATACAGCCTTACAGATTACACAAATACTCATTGCCTGTGTTTAACGTGTTTGCTTCCAGTCATTGTTCCTCGGGCCGGTGCTGAAGTACGGCAGTGAAGCCATCAAGGAGAAGTGGATCCCTTCGTTCACGGACGGACAGAAAATCGGCTGCTTCGGTTTGAGCGAGCCAGGTGCGCGACAAGTTTAATTGGCTTCCTTCTCATGTACAGCACCCACTACCGCTGTTCCATTACATAACCAACCTCTTTTGGCCACTTTCTGGTAACATGAATCGGCATGTACATGCACAGCCCATTGTCAATTCACCGCTGGATGAGGGCCTCCGCACGCCGTGCGGTCGCAGTGGTTATTTGGTCACACTTCTCCACGCCGGACGACATGGGTTTGTGAAGGAGGAGAGCATGGATGTGGGAGCGTAGAAGTAAAGTACAAGTGTGGAGTTTTTAGCACTGCCCTCTAATGTTTACCACATAGCCACGCAGCCTATAACAACCGATGATGCAAATCACTTAATGCCAGTGGGCACGATGAACACGGTTGGCTACGTATGGTGCGAAAGAAGCTGGTAATATGGTGTTACGGTGGCAGTGCATACTTAAAATGTGAATATGTAGTTAATTTTTATTGCATGTAAATTAAATATGTTATGTGCTAATTGCATGTAAATTTAATTCAAATTAAAATTTTAAATCTTGATTTGAAGTGTTGCGAGTGAAATGTCGTGATCTATTATTTTTTCTCCCTACGTGACTTTACCGAAAGAACCAAAGAGTAAAATTTCAAATATTCAACAATTTGCAGTTATTGCTGATGGGGGGTACAGAGCCAGCTGATCGGTCTACTAGGGGTTACACGTCGAGCAATAGATTGTGAAGCAGCGACTCGACCCGTGGCATACGAGTGATGTGTGAGTGACGTGCGAGTCTAACCCTCGTAAGCCACCGCGCGTGGGCTCTGCGCCACGCAGGGAACGGCAGCGACGCGGGTGCGGCCTCCACCACGGCGCGGGTGGACGGGGACTCGTGGGTCATCAACGGCACCAAGGCGTGGATTACCAACGCTTGGGACGCCTCCGCGACGGTCGTGTTCGCCACCACCGACAAGAGCCTCAAGCACAAGGTGGTGGCCCTCTTCTCCTTGCTGGGACACGTCCACGCGTGGGGCACGCCCTTTCGCAGATCTAGCGGGAGACACTGACTCGCCACACCAGGATTGTTAACAAGCGTCTCGCCGGGTAGAAAACTCCTTTGAGCCTTAACAACAAGGCTCGGGTTTTTTTGTTGCCAATTCTGTTCTTATTCGTGGTTCTTTTGGTAAAGTCACGTAGAAGGGAAATAATAAAAATATAAAACAATAAAAATTCTCACGACGTTTCGACTGCAACACAAGCAATCATCATCAGGTGTGAAATCCACAGCAAGAAAATTTGTGGATTTCACACCTGATGATGATTGCTTGTGTTGCAGTCGAAACGTCGTGATAATTTTTTTGTTTTATATTTTTAATGCTTTTTAAATTATTTTATTATTTTCCTTTTACGTGACTTTACCGAAAGAACCAAGAATATGAATCCCTGCAGTCACGAAAGCTTTAAATCGAAATTCTGTTCTTGTGTAAGAGCTCCGGAGCAGCAATCATCTTGTTTTCATGACATCGTGATATCTCTAAGGCCACGGTCACATGAGGCCTACCACCTCAAAACAATATTTTATTTTATTGCAACATAATAGCTGCACTAATCAGGTACTCGTGGGGAAGATTTTCAGTTTGGCAACAGTTTGTTTTTTCGCGCACTCAGTGACAGATGTGATTGAGGTGTACGTTACCACGTAGCTCACGTAAGGTATCTGAAAGTTTGGCCATCGCAATATATATATATGTTTTTGTGCATTTTGGTCCTTCCACAAAATGGAATGCTTTGAAGCAGTCGAAATAAATTATCAGCATATTTGCGATGGTGAATGAGTACAGGCAAAATAAATTTGGAAAGATCCCTGCTTAAATATGAAAAATGCTGCTAAATAAATGCACACCCATAGCATCAAACTAGTGCTTGGTAGAAATTATTTGCTCTGCAGAAGGTCAAATAGTCATTTTTGGCACCAGCATTTGAGTACATGCAACAAATATTGTTGAACCGTGATTGTATCCAACTTCTCATGAATGGTCACCACACACACACGCACACGAGCAGGGCATCAGCGCGTTTGTGCTGCCTATGCCGTGCCCTGGTCTGTCGCTGGGGAAAAAAGAGGACAAGCTGGGCATCCGTGCATCATCCACCGCCAACCTCATCTTTGAGGACTGCCGCATCCCCCGGGACAGCATGGTGGGAGAGCCTGGAATGGGCTTCAAGATTGCAATGGTAATTGTCGGTTCTTGCATTTACAAATTGCTGTGGGATTACTTGAAAACACCTTGTGAGCTGTTCAAGAAAATGTCATATCAAGGGCTGTATAAACTCGGAAAGTGATAAATGGTTTTTTACCCTTTTATCTGGCAACAAAACTGACACCTTTTTTACAAGGAGTCATGTTTGCATTGACCACAATACCTGCGGTCTGGTCCAACACCACGTGAGACTAGGCTCTAAGGAAAGCTGTCTCGGGTGTGGACCAATCAATTTCAAGGACAGTGCATACATTATCAGAGTTGTGTTTTTTTGTTTGCATTCCGACGGCAGGTATTGTGGTCAATGCAAACATGATTCCTTGTAAAAAAAAGGTGTCAGTTTTGTTTGCCAGATAAAAGGGTAAACAAACAATTATCATATTTTGCTACTGGCAAAGGAAGTTCCAATGGTGTAAACTCGGAAAGTGTTTCTCAACTGCAGACCTTGAGGCCCACCAAGGTCAACCTTTCTTTTAAATTACCAGTCTTTTTTAGTCACATGCAAATTAAGCCACTGCACAATTGATTTCACATGATGTTTGGTAATCACAGAAAGCTGTACCTTGGGGAGGGGGGGTCGCAGGGATTGGATTTGTGAAACACGGCACCAGGACAACTTTGTGACAATAGTTACCGGCAACACATTTACTATCAGCAACCACGGCAACTTATTACAGCAGTGGTACAGAGTAATGGAGTTGTGGCTCACCGATAAAAACATGTTTTGATATCAAGAATTGGTCTACAAAGCTGTGACCTCTTGGATATACAGTAATTTGACGTTGCGATCCCAGCTACCCACTAGAGGGAGCACTGGCCAGATTTGTCAATATTTTGTCAACTAATGTTCTTATAATGGTGAAGCAACTATTTCCCGGGACGTCCTAACATTTCCCTCTTGCAGGGGTGAGGAATCTTACAGCCACATGTGACCTTCCAGTTTGAAACAGCCGCAAACGATATTTTATCCATCACTGCAAGAATCTTGGCAGCACTGAATTGGTGCTAGAGGGTAATATTTTTGACCTGGCAATAATGTGTTTAAATTTGTTTTACCGGCAAGAGCCTCTTGCAGTGACAGTAGAGCCTGAGGGATGTGTGTGTGCGCTAATGTGTGACTCGCCAAACGTCTTCGAAAATCCTATAATGCGCCTCGGGAACGAAAAGATTCCCCACCTCTGTTTCACAGCAAGGGAATGGGGGAAGTTCAGCGAGCGGACGATTGGGGGCGACAGACGCTGCATTCTGGCAGCGCCCATGCGGTATTTGATGCAGAGGTCGCAACCGGGTACCCGATACCCGTACCCTACCCGATACCCGGCTACCCGTACCCGGCCGGGTACGGGTACGGGTAGCCGTTTGCGACCCTGGTGCGGCCGGGTACGGGTATGGGTAGGCCGTGAGTCACTGGTGAGTAACCGTTTGTTACTCATTTCGGGTAGGGTACAGGTAGGGAACGGGTACCCGTACCCGGCCAGGTACCCATTTGTGACCCTGGTGCGGCCGGGTATGGGTACGGGTAAGGAATCAAAACCCGTTTGCGACCTCTGGTTTGATGGCGGTGGGGACGATTGTTAATACGAACAGGTGGCGTACCAATGGCGTGTCATGAGGACTGGCATTTGGCGAGACCCAGGCATGCAGGAGTCGATGAATTTGTTCCCGTAACCGCTCAACCGTTGTCCTGCAGCAAACCCTCGACTCGGGGCGCATCGGCATCGCAGGCCAGGCGCTGGGCATCGGACAGGCGGCGCTCGACTGCGCGGTGGAGTACGCCAGCAAGCGGCAGGCTTTTGGCAAATCCATCACCAAGCTTCAGGCCATTCAGGTACGGATAATCGTGCAGGTTCATAAGTTGCACGTGCCGCAAAAAGTCAACACAGGGAGACCTGGATAACCTGAAATCCTTACTGCCAAGTTGATTTCATTGTTCGTGTGCGTCCCTGTTTATTCGGTGTGGGTTAAACATGCGCAGCTATCTGTGCGTCGAATGAACGCACGTAAAATTGCGCAACAAAATTCGTTAACGTAACGGTGCATCGATGCGGCTCTTGAAATTGATTCTATCGCTCGGGATACAGGCATCAAATCACGTGTGCGAGAATCGACGTTCAATGCGTGTTGTGTTCTGGGTTCACGTGACCCCTGCAGCCTCTGGAGGCGCTACAGCCAAGAAAAATACATTGGTTCAAAATTGCGACAGCTCATTGTCTCTCGTTGGAAGCACATTTCAATGAATGTAAGAACTTTGTCTTTTAAATTTGCCACTTTCCTTTTAGAAATAGTTCACAACCATGGTCGTCGAGGTATTCTAATAAATTCAACAAAACAAATAGTAATCGGCAATGTTAATAGAATGTTGAGATAGTCACACTTGTTACTGGTGTTTTTTTTATACACATCGACCTTTTTTTGTCACGAGCAGACTCATCTTGTTGTTAATTTCCCAAACCGGCAATATATTTAAACGAGCAGTTTTTGTGATGACCCCAGTAATCGTTTTATAGCTTGGAGCACGTTTGTTTGCAAGTCTAAAACACGGGTGGGCGTTTGTGATGCAGTTTAAGCTCTCAGATATGGCTCTGGCGCTGGAGAGCGCGCGACTGCTCACGTGGAGAGCCGCGATGCTCAAGGACAACGGCAAGAACTACACGAAGGTATCGCCACCCACTTCACCGCATGTCGCGTCTGACTGCGCGCCGCTTGCTTGTGAATACATGCGCGCTTGCTTGTGAATACATGCGCGCGTGTGTGTGTGTCGGGAGTGGTGGCGCAGTGGTTAGCGCACTGTGATACAAACACTGGCGACTCGAGTTCGATTCCCGCTCACGGCCAACATCAGTGACGATTATCTGAACCGGTCCTGGGCCTCCCCTAGGTCGACTCAGCCTTAAATGAGTACGTGGTGCGATGTGTAAACATCGCCGCTAGGGAGACAAAGGCGGCCGGGCGTGGTGTTGGCCACCCACCCCCTCGTGTGCCGTGCTGGCCTTTATAGGTGCTCGCTAACAGCACTTGCCCCTACAGTCTGTTAAGGCTATACGGGGGATCTTTGTGTATGTGTGTGCACTTCTACGTGTGTGTATGGGGAGCGGTAATGTAGCAGTTAGCGCGCTGCACTAGGAACCCGGTGACCAGAGTTCGATTCACGCTCACGGCCAACATCAGTGACGATTATCTGAACCGGTCCTGGGCCTCCCCTAGGTCGACTCGGCCTCAAATGAGTAACTGGTGCGATGTGTAAACATTGTAATTGGGGAGACAAAGGCGGCCGGGTGTGGAGCTGGCCATCCTCTCGTATGCCATTCCAGCCTTCACAGGTGCTCACGAATAGCACTTGCCCCAACAGTCTGTTAAGGCTATACGGGGGATCTGTGTCTTTGTATGGGGAGCGGTGCGACAGTGGTCAGCGCCTACGCTACGAACCTGGTGACCCGAGTTCGATTACCGCGCACGGCCAACATCGGTGACAGATATCTGAACCCGTCCTGGGGCTCCCCTAGGTCGACTCAGCCTCAAATGAGAACCTGGTGCGGTGTGTAAATATTGTCACTGAAGAGACAAAGGCGGCTGAGCGTGGTGCTGACCACCCACCACCTCGTGTGCTGTGTCGGTCTTCATCGATGCTCGCTAACAACACTTGTCCCAAAAGTCTGTTAAGGCTATAAGGGGAATCTTTGTCAATATTACGTGTAACATGGCAAGCCATTGCGTCGTGTGTATATGTATATTTGTATCTATGTGTATATTTGTGTGTGTCTGCATTGTGTATGTGTGTGTTTATTATGTGTATTTGTACGTACAGGTGTCTATATGTGTATCCACATATCTGTAGTGTATTTATATATGTATCTCATATGTATTTGTGTGTGTGCGCGTCCCAACAGTCTGTTCCGGCTATATGGGAGATCTTTGTTTTTTGTATGTATCTGTCTATATTACAAGTGTGTTCTTTTAGTATATCTGCGATCAGATGTATATTTGCGTGTATGCATGTGTTCAATCATGTGTATGTATTTATGCATGTGTTGTGCACTTTCTTGATCTTCAGTAATTTTTTCAGACGCTGTATAAATCCGTACTGTTGTTACTGCAGGAGGTATAGAACAATCCACCCTCACTGCCCACCCTGCGAGTTCATTCGTTCTCATGATGCGAAGTCACAGTTTCATTTGTCTCGTTATTTTTCATCTCGTTTGGACTGCATACCGTGTCAACCCATTGCGGCTTACCCGTTTTCTTGTGCAGAGAAATTGAGTTTTCACGTCCATACTGCGTACAGCCGTTTCAGTACGGGCAAAAAAAATGTTGTCTTTGTGTTTTTCCCTGGTGATGGGACTTTATAGGATGAACGTTGAGATTTATAAGGGTACGGGGTGACCAATAAAGTCTAAATTGGTCATCATGGGACCTTCTTTGCCAGTACCAAAATATACTAATAGGGTCTTTCCCCTCTTTTCTGGCAACAAAACTGACACCTTTTGCAAGGAATCATGCTTACATTAACATTAACCACAATACTTGCAGAGTATTGTTTTTTGTTTGCATTTGACTGCAAGTATTGTGGTTAATGTAAGCATGATTCCTTGCAAAAGCTGTCAGTTTTGTTGCCAGAAAAAAAGGTGAAAAACCCTATTAGTTCTAATTTGGTCTTTAACAAGGTAGGGGTTGACAGGTATGTGATTGTTCCTATTTTATTCCCATTCTCGTTTATAGTCTCCTTTGCTCCATGTAGGCGAAATGTAACACGAGCAAAAAATACTTTGTAAAATCCATAAATAAATGATTGTCAGCAACATGAGTCGATGCGCGTTATCATGAGCCTACTTATTTATATCGCAGAGTAATACCCCGAATTACGTCGGGGAGGCGTTCCCGAAAGGTGCGACGAATATTGAAACAACGTCAATCAAAGCAATTTTTACAAATTTCCAAAATACCCTAGGTAAATAATATATTCTACTCTGCAGTACAGTACAACTATTTATGCGCGACGCAAAGTAGTTCGTTTACAGGGCAGGTGGAGGCTGAGGCGACGGATATCAGAAAGGACGGATGATGCTGTCAGCGACGTAATTGTGGGTTGAGGCGACGCAAATCAGGTAGCGGTGTTAAGAAAGCGACATCGTATTTGCGGAGCGATGTGAAAGGGGGTGACGGAAATCGGGTTATTACCGTATGCATGCATGCAAACGGTGAATTAATCGTGTGGAAAATTATGCAGTTGTAAATCGTTTAGGTAGGAGATCCCCGTTTGAATGTGTCCGTGACTGCGTGTTTGTGTGCCCGTGTTAGGAAGCTGCCATGGCCAAGTTGGCAGCATCAGAGGCTGCTACCTTTATTTCACACCAGGTACGTTCTTGCAGACATTGCCTTTCTTACCAACATCACTGTGCCCAGTGGTCCCGAAGCAGACTTGCTGATGAGTGCACATTTATAATTTGAAAGTATAAAATTTCATATTTATTCAGACAATAAGAATTGAATATTGAAATACATTTACACGCATTTTGTGAAGTGGCATCTTCTTGCCCATATCTAATGCAGTCGATCGTTAGCGATTTAAGTTCAGGTGATGTTCTAGAAAGGCCAGATTGGATAAAATTTGGTACAATTATAGTCCAATCTATGCTTTAGCTATAAAAATACAAGTATCTAAATTTAAGCATTTTTGCCCTCAAACTTTTGGAACAACAGTTTAAACTTTTTTTAACATATGCCTACAAATGTATGTCACTGGAGATGTGTTAAGGGTGCTAAACCCAAGTATAAAATCAGTTTATTGATAACTAACTTTTTTGGGAGCTTTTTAACTCAATATAAAGCACAGAACGCCCACTACCAATTCTAGTAATATAGCAACATATTTAATGTATCAATTGGACACGTTCATCATTATCTGTTATCATTTATACCGTACCTCCCATGCAGTACATCTCGAGGCGCCTGAGCAAAAAAAAAATAGATAATTAGCAAGGACGGAATTGCAGACCAAATACAATATTCAAATACCAGACACTGTAGAATGAAAAGAGAATGAAAGCTTTAACCTTTTTTGAGACATCCCTCTGTTACATTCACATCAAGCACAACACTTGTTTATGATAAATGAACCCCACTCAACCTCACGTCTAACTACCCCCCCCCACCCACGGCGGTGTCGATTGCAGTCCATACAGATCCTGGGCGGCATGGGCTACGTGACAGACATGCCGGCCGAGCGGCACTACCGTGACGCGCGCATCACCGAGATCTACGAGGGCACGAGCGAGATCCAGCGGCTGGTCATCGCCAACCGACTGCTCAAGGAGTACGACACGGAGTAGTAGGGGTCGGGCGGCCGACCTAGGCGCCAGCAGCCATCGCGTTGACTTCGTCACGTGGCCTCCGCTAAACTGGCGTCCGCCCTGGCGTCGCTAGGCCTTGTGGCGGTCCTCACTGCCCCCACATTAACCGATCAGAAGTCTTCTTGGTTCTTTCGGTAAAGTCACGTAGAAGGAAAATAATAAAAATATAACATAAAATAATTCTCACGACGTTTCGGCCACAACGCAAGCAGCCGTCTTCAGGTGGAGAACAGGTCTGTCCAGAAGGAAGAGTCAGACTCTGCCTTCTGCGTTGTGGCCGAAACGTCGTGAGAATTATTTTATTATATTTTATTTAATTTTTTATTTATTTTCCTTCTACGTGACTTTACCGAAAGAACCAAGAAGATGAATCCCTGCAGTCACGAAAGCTTTAAATCGAAATCCGATCAGAAGTGTTTGTATTTTTTTATATTTTGTTTTACCAGGTAAGCACCAATAAGCAATATAGCTCTTTTTCAGAAGTGACCTGGCCACAATTGATAGCTTTACAAAGTGACTTATAATGTGGAAATGTATAGAGGCCAAATACTCTAAACACATGTTGATTCTAAATGGCAAGTGATAAACCGGAGGAGCCGGAGAAAAATCCACACGACCATAGGGAGAACATGCAAACTCCAAATATACAGCAGCAGGCGTCAGGGTTTGGATCGAACCCACGACCTTCTGTATGCCAGACGGGGTAGTTAACATCTTGCCACCGTGTTTGTGTGAGATTTACGCCTGACTGTGCCACAGAGATGCTGACAAGGAAGATCAAGTACAACGTAATGAATGACAGCAGAATGTATTGGTAGCGGTGCGTTTCAAGATGCAACGGCCAAAATTGCTTTATGTAATATAAAACATATCGTAAAAACATTTTTAACACAAGATCATGATGGAGGATACAACGGCACGTACATTTACAGCTCAGTCCACTGCTGGATTAGAGCCTCCTGTCGTCTGTACGGGTCGTGAGATTATTTGACCATAATTCGCGCTGTTCAGTTGGGGTTTGTGGAAGGTGGGGAGCATAGATTTACAATATTGGAGTTGCACTGTCCTGTACATGTCCACCACGTAGCCCCCACAAGCCATACGACAACCTGCTTGCACTGCCCAGGCTCAGAGCTGCTTATATTCCGAGGTATGATAAGATCGGGCACGTGTCGGGCGATTTGTTTATGGGGATAAAACACGTCTGTGAGAAAATCAGCGAATAGCGCAGTTTGGTTTAAGCAAGGGGTGTTTCATCTTCTTGGTTCTTTCGGTAAAGTCACGTACAATGGAAATAATAAAATATAATTATATTATATAATTTTATTATGTTTTATTTTTATTATTTTATTATTTCCATTCTACGTGACTTTACCGAAAGAACCAAGAAGATGAATCCCTGCAGTCACGAAAGCTTTAAATCAAGGGGTGTTTGATGCAGCGGAGAGTTCAACCGCCACGCTGGACTTGCCGACATCTCCGGCAACTGCAGCGTGACGCAACCCTCCGTGCGTGCGCCGCAGCGGCGTTTATGAATCTGCGCGCGTGTCGCCAGTAAAGTGCGGCGGTGCACTTCATTTTTACGCAAGATTTTGAGTTATGACCCTTGGAACTTCGCCGTGCATCTCTAGCCGCGACCGACGGTCGGGATTTTTTCTAGCGAGTAGGACCCAAAATGTGAAATGAATCAAATGTAGAAAACATTGGGTGAGAAAACGGCTTCACGCGATAAAAGCAAAACCGATTTGACGATTTTATGCACAAACACAAATATCGTCGAACGCACAAATATCGTTCACGCTTGACTTGTCCGATGCTGTTTGTCAAGTCTTCCAGCTGTACTATTCTGAACTAAATAACAGTGCTGGTGTATTGTATTTTTGTTTACTATTAATAAACTTCGAAGTGAAACAGTTACTTCTTGAAAACAGTGCCTCGTGCGCCACTCACTAACCGAGCGCCTTTAATTTGTTATCCACATCTGTTGGTCTCGTTTTTCCCCTCCCTGCTTAAGCTGAACCTCGAGCGGTTGCAACGTCTTGTACTGCACACGACTTATTCCTCAACGATTTGTCAGATATTTGATTGTATCCAAGAGTATAGAACTTTAGTTAAGTAGGCTCTTAACTGGGCGTAACATTGTTGCTTGTGTGTGTGCGCGCGTACGTGTCTGCATGCACAGCAGCTGAAAATCTAAATTGGGGGTCCCGGAACTGCTTGACCCCCCCTAAATGCAACAAGATATGGATTGCACCATAGTTAATGCTTAGCCCCACGGTGCGTGTTGTGTAAGAACCTTTATGAAGCCACGCGCCTCTGGGCAATAATGTACCAGTAAACGCACTCTTCAAATTTAATAGGTGTCATCGGGGGTTTGTGCCACTCCATAATTGCTACCCTGGCGTGCCGTCCACGAAATTACGATTTACGTTTTCCGCGCTCATGTGTTCCATGAACCTTTGTGCCTTGTGAATTACAGAAAGCACCCGTTGACGGTGCCCGTATCTTTTAGTTGTTCTTGCGATCCAGACGCAAGCGAAGCTATAGAAAACACCAGAAACCAATTTTCGTTTGACAACAATGTGGGTGTAAATGTCGAAACCACCCTTTTGAATTGATCACATGATGTCTGCCAGCAACCACTTGCAAAAATATATATATAACGCCGTGACCGAGTGTGTTTTACTTTTCAAGTCAGTCAAAGAAGTATACAAATGTAATTTACAATTTGGGAGATGAAGGCTTCAAATGCTGGGTTAACCTTGGAAAAATGTAACTTGTAAGCCAAAAGTACAAAACTAACGTCCTCAAACGATGAACTATAAATCATTGTCGTTTTATTGCTGTGTTGTATATGATTTTACTGATAAAAAATATACATATTGTGCATTATAACGATGCATTGCGAATTGTGTATTTGGTTTGGGTGGTTGTACTGAAGGCGTTTGAACGTCTTTGAAAGAGATTGCCAGCCACACCGCATTGCGGAGTTTCCAGCAGTGAACGACTTACAGGGAAACGTATTATAGTTGCCCTGAAAGTAAAATGTGAAGTCATTAAACACGATTCTGAAGCGTCAGTGGTAATGTCCAATGGGTAACATCATTTGTGCCTGTGTCCTGGTATAATACGCATTTTATGGCAATAATGACTTAAAATTGTTCGCATGTTATAGCGTGCTTATTTTATTTCATATTCAGTGCACTTAAGAATCATTAAATGAATTTGACATCTGTATGTATTATATCATCATACTCCGCAAAGTGTGACCTCGTGCTTAGGTGAAAAACCCACGGGCTCATACAGGTGTGTTGTAAAGATATCTGCAATATAAAATACTCTTAACCATTGTACATTGTTTCGTATCATGTTGCGTCTTCATAGATTACCAATTCATGATTACAGTGGCGGCGCTCGGCCTAATCAAACAAAGTAAATGCTTCGGGCCAAATCAGCTCCAGGAGCCCCAGGTTCATGAAACAAATAGGAGTGTGGACGGTTATCTCAAATTCAGTCCAAACAAACTAACATCCAATTAATCTCTCTAATCTCTACCTTGTCTGCGTAGCTCGTCTCTCGTCTCACATCTGTCTACATTTGTCTTATTTCACTACACCAGTATCTCTTGTCTATATCTCTTCTGTCAACTCATTGTAAGTGTACAGATTGAAAGGGAGGCCCCAGCAAAATAATGTCTGCTTCGAGCTCCCAGTAGTCTAGCACCGGCGTTGTCGCATTTACAAAATGCCCCGGCGTTGGTAAACGATTTGGCACTGAAGTAGCCATTCGCTAAGCATCCTTTGCCACGGGATTTACCGGGTCTATCTGAGTGTACCAGCACAGCCTAGTGCGCATATCCTTTCTAGAAAGCACTGCCAACGCACTTTCTATACAACTGCTCGCACATGAGAGTGAGCACGAGACCGGACGGAATACTTTAAAGGAGCGACGCGCCGCGTTGAGCCACAAGACGCCAGCATTTCTTGGCCTTGGGAGTAGTTTACAGGCTAATATACATTTTAAAAAGAGTGAACTTTATCCCCGTAGAAATCTGCTCTTTTGTGATCTGCCGCATTAAAATAGAAATTACTTAACTGCCTGTCCACACGGCCCACACTTCACACACGTGCGGACCATTAACGCGTCGTCTTAACGACTCGAATTGCCCTCTTGTCGTGCGCTCGCTAAACATCGCAATGCTTCTGTGACGTGACCTGTTCTTTTTGTGCCGGCAAGATATATCAAAGATCCACGTTGCCACTGGGGGGAGGGGGGGCTCTGAAGTTTTACAATGTATCCCATTTTAAAATGACAGATCACACAAGTTCACTTAAAGCACAAAGCGCTCATAAACGCTGCCGTTTGATTTGATGTCACACACCTTTCTTCCAGTAATACATAATCATGTAGACCTCTTTGCTTCATCACACTTGTCAGCGCAGGTTGGTGAACCGGCTCAGATACCACTTGCCACTGATGTTAGCCATAGCCAGGAATGAAACTCAATGCTCGGTTCATCGCCCGGTGTGCTAACCACCGAGCCACCACTCCAAGCCACTTTTCAGGTTTCATTTTATATTTTGATCAGTAAAATAGTCACCAGATGTGATCTTCGCCTGCTTTTTATCGGCATCAGTGTCACACTACAGGATCATATGGATCATATATTTGTTAGTGTTTAGCATGAGGCTTGAAGCAATTTCGAATTTTAGGGTGAGTGAAACCAATGAAACACCAGGCATTAATTTTTGACATCCCAAATGCAGAAATGTTGGTTTTGGATGTTTCCAGTTATAACCCTTATTCAGCTACAGTTGAGCCAAGTTTACTATTACTAGGCGTTTAGGAACAACATCATATACATTGGTCACACTCGTCTACATTTATAAGATTTTTTATAAATCCGTGAAATACAGGGTGCTTCAATAAATGGTAACACTTATATGGGACTATTGTTTTTAATGTAAAAGAACGGATAATACACTGTAACATGATAACGAATGTATGTTAATAGCTTCAAAAAGTCAAAGAGTCTCCAATTGTTCGCCATCGTTGTCATCGCGTGCCTGGAATCTTCTCCAGGTGGTCTCCAGAGCCCGGAGACACATTTCTTGTGGCATTGTTGCAAATTCTCTGAAGTGTTAACATTTTTTTGAAGCACGCTGTATATTTGAAAATATACCCTCTCTATGGGGTTGTTTCTGTTATTCGAATATGCATTGATATTTGTGTGGCTGTCCTTTTAAAAATCTGAATATTTATTGACACTGGAGGAATCACATGAGCTATGAAGCTCTTTTTCACAGACGAAGGGCACTCACGGTAAGAACGTTACAACAACAATCAATACAAATACATGACAGGAGTGAAAAGCAGAGGCAGGATATGCCTGTCATATAAACCTGCTTATCAGTCCCGCATTTAGTTAGCAAAACTATCTAGTGATGTATTTATGCTTTTTTGTCTGAAGCATAACACATTAGCCAATATTGCCCGGTGGCTCATAGGGTCAGAGCACTCAGCCGTAACTGTTGAGATCATATAGCTCCAATCTGGGCACACAGCCGTGGTTAAACCACCTTCTTAATCTAGTGATAATATGATGATGGCCTCAGTCCAGTCATTAATTACTCTACCAAAAAAAACTCATCACGTAACTTTTTTCGTTTTGTACTTAATTTGGCTGAAGCTCTTGAGAAAAAAATGAAATAAATATTTATATTGCATTGACTGTCATGCGGTAATCTCACGGCAGATTGTATGGGGGTGTGTGTGATCCCTACTGTGGCAAGGGAAAATACAAAGGTGACTTGGAACATGTTGGGAAAAGTATCGTGAAAGATGTTCCACAGCCATGCTTTAACATACGGGTTGCAATGCTTCTGAGAGATTGCCGAATGGATTCCTCGTCTCATCAAATGATGCTCTAGGAAATACATTTAACAACACCAGATTTTTTACAATATGCCGTAGCAGCATGGTCTTCACCATACGACAACTATCAGTGGCAGATACACGATAAGATGACTAACAGTCACGTAATTCGTTTTATAATTGCTATCTAAATGCAATGCGCTTTTGCTGCCGTCTGGAACGCTGTTTCTTCCGCTATTCGGAAGCCACTGTAGCGATGCACTTTTAAATCTAGATAGAAAACTCATTTTGTTAGAACTGCTTTTTGTGTTTAGTTTGTTGTCCTTCCCCCGCACATTCAATTCGTACGGTTGGCTACGTACGGTGCAAAAGAAGTTCAACAGACATACATACAAAAAAAATAAACAATCACTCGTACAATATGTGCGAACGTACTTTTTTTTTGGAGTAGCCGTGCGCCAGTGGTGTTGAGCAATAGGGCTCAGTGACCCCAGAAATCACAAAGGCATAGCGGCTAACTTGTGATTCCCTGCAACTGGCAGTGATGCAAAGTACGAGCGAGTGAGTGGACTTTGGATTAAAACTCATCCAGAATGGTGCCCCCTGTTTGTTGGAGCGATGGGGTGGTATGCATGCGGATCGGGGGTCAAAGGGTAATTGTTTTCGCGCAATTCCATTTACTGATTTTATGACCCAAAACAAATCTGTGGCCGTCTTGATCCGCGATGCTGTTATTGTTTCCTCTGGTGTCGCTGTGGGACACTTTGGAAACTTTTGCTCACGAACAACCCTCGGGGTCGTCTCTCTGGTGCGGCATTAAGGTGGACGATTTAAAATTTGGCAAAATGACCGCTTGGATTTGTATGCTTTTAAAAAACGCCGCACCAAAATGTTACTCAGATGTCGAGATGGAAGGAGGAGCAAAGCGACAAAGCAAACGTGGTGCACAGCGACGGTGTTTGTGTGCAGCCAACGACGAACGCTCGGCTTCAATGCATTGCTTTAGGTCTTGCCCTTGGGACATTTCTCACACTCCTGTCTCCTATGGCCTGCTGTTTTACCCCATGCTGACCTCCCCAAATCCGAAGTGTCACACTGTTTTAGGGCCACAGTCTACGAAATGACACCGCCTTTGTGTTGAAAGTATCTCGTCTCGTGCTATTGGCCCTTTCTTGCGAGGCTTTAGCCAAAGTGCCATTTAGAGAACTCTAGGCCCGAGTAAGCCTTGAGTAAAAAAATAAAAATCCAATCATTACCACAGAAGTTAGGGAATAAGCAAGTTCGCGTAATATTATCATTATTAGTCCAGCAAATGTCATATTTGATGATCACTTCAAGGCAGCTTCATTCGGACATTCTATGTGTGTCATGTGTAATGTACAGGGTGGTCCAGATGTTTTGTGACGCCCCAATGAATTGCCCCCTCATATTTTTTTCTTTTTGCATATTCATGTTTGTTCTAAATAAACCTTACGTAAAAAACATGAAGTTTTAGATAATAAAATGGGAGGGGGGGGGGTCACAGAACATCTGCACCACCCTGTACAACGTGGCACGTTTGTAAAATCGCACATAGGTGGGCACAGAAAGGGGGCGCCATCCACAGGTCTCTGCTCGATCTGCGGAATTGTTTATTTGAAAAGTGTTGGGCCCCCGATGGCTTTAGAGCAGGGGTCAAACTTGGGTTATCGGTAGCTCCAGGGCGCAGTTCGAGTGAGGCTGGAGACGTGAGGACCTGTGCCGTGCGTGAAAACCCTCGGGGTATTTTACTCTCACCCCACCCCTCTCAGTCACACTGCACAAACATTCACATGCGCATGTCAACGTGTTTGCCTCGTCATAACTACATGGACGTGATAAAAACAAATTTGGGGGGAGACATTTTGTATCCCATCAACCTGGGAAAACCCTGAGTGTGGCGTGGAAAGTCCCATCGATGCGCAATGTATACGTTACGAGCAAATTCATAGGCAAACATTTACGCGAGCCTCAAGTCTCGTCGTGAATCATGGCGGTGGTCGGAACGAATGATGGGAGTGGCATTCAGAGGAGGGATGGCGCGCGCGATAAAAGAGAGTGAGCGAGAGATCGAGCGATGACACCAGCTCCTGTGCAGAGACGTGATGCGGCATTGTTGCATCGCGGCACCGTGGAAAGACGGCGACCGCTTGGGGTGTCTCGTCATACTCTTAGTTCTTTCGGTAAAGTCACGTAGGTAAAAAAATGAAATTAAAATTAATAAAAAAATAAAATAATAAAATCACGACGTTTCGGAGGCAACACAAGTCTCCGTCATCAGGTGGGACCGTCACAGCCAGATTTGATGCAGCAAATCTGGCTGTGACGGTCCCACCTGATGACGGAGACTTGAAACGTCGCGATTTTATTAGTTATTTTTTATTAATTTAAATTTCATTTTTTTACCTACGTGACTTTACCGGAAAAAAACTAAGAGTGTGAATCCTTGCAGTCACGA